GACCTCATTGTCTGACAAGACATCGCGCGAAGGCTGAACCTCCCGTCAGCTTGCGCCACACTCGGTTCTAGGTGAGCGCCCCACGCAACAGTGCCTCTGATCAATGTTACTCGTTCTTTTGTCCTGCCTCATCGCTTTCTATATGTCCGTTGTGCCCTCGGACATCTGGTGCTCTTTTATCTCCTCTTTCTTGGTCGCCCTGGATCTTCCATGACTCCCCACTCTTCACCGGAGAAAGACTACTCCTACTGACATGGCCTCTGTTGACTTAGCTTTCCCACACCTTCGCCAACCATTTCAGGCTGGCGCGAAACATCCATTATCCATGGCTGCATTGATGCAATCGAACAACGAACCTGTTCCTATCTCAAAACCATTGTCAGGGCCATCGAACCCCGTAATATCCGCTCCGTCGGAACCGCTCGCTTTTCTGAAACAGTCAAAGCCTGATTCAAGTCTGTCCTCTATCGCCAGTGCAGGTCTGAACGTTTCGCGCTCCGGCGATTCGCTACCACCAATGACGACGACCGCACCGCCGGCCACGGCTGGCCAGACAGATCGCCCGCTGGAGCACGAGAAGGAATCAGAGCAGCACAGCTCACAAGTTGCGAGAGAGGCCCTCGGTGCCAGCGAGAAGCAGACAAATCCCGTGAATGAGAACATGCAATCTTCGTCAGACCAAATGCAAGTTGATTCACATTCAGGACCAGGCAGTGCACCTGATACGTTCGGGGCAGCCGATAACAATAACACACTTATCGACGCCTCAACCGTGGCCAGTCCTGGTCCTATCGAGGATTCTGGCTCTGCAGATGGCGATCATCCTCGCCACCGTGATGACGGAGAAATGCCGCAAGAAACAGGCAATAAAGCCTTCTCGTATCCGATGCCCACGGCTAGTTTCAATGACCCTCGCCGTGGTCTCAGCTTACCCGGTTCCGGGTTTCACAAAGGCCAGCGGTCACCGTCGGCCAAAAAGCATCGTTGCCCATACTGTGCTACGGAGTTTACCAGGCATCATAACCTGAAGAGCCATTTGCTTACGCATAGTCAGGAGAAGCCATATGTTTGCCAGACATGTCAATCACGCTTCCGTCGGTTACATGATCTGAAGAGACACACTAAACTTCATACTGGCGAACGGCCCCATATTTGCCCTAAGTGCGGGCGCAGGTTCGCCCGTGGCGACGCTTTAGCTCGCCACAACAAGGGCCAAGGCGGATGCGCAGGACGCAGAGCAAGCATGGGAAGCTACGTTGCCGAGGATGAATACGGCGAGGCTCCGGCCCCTGGAGCCGCGGATGATACGATGGATGGACTTGTGTACACAGCTGAGCCAGAGCGCATGGATGAGGAAGAAGAGCGGCGACTCATGCCCAGCATCAAGAAGCACGATATGTCGACGGACTCTATTTCACGTTCAAACACTACGAGCTATCAGCCACGCCAGCCCAGCACATATCCACCGATCGCTTCAGGAAGACCTTCCCCCGGGGGTCTCTTTCCTCCTCCAAGCCATGGTGGCTCTAGTGCGTCAACGTCTCCCGTATCGCAATCCGGCAACATGACCTTCCCACCGCCCGGTCAGCCTTCAGGGGCATCGGTTTTCCCCACCAACATCACGGGGAGCCCGAAACCGTTGTCCCCAAATGCACTGTCATCGCATCAGCTTGGCCATGGGCCGGAGAATAACATCCATCATCGTGCTCATTCGCCCGGCATGGCTCAGTCGTTCCAGCAGCAGACATTCGGCAGGACAGGATCTTCCTCGAGTTCGGTAACGAATCATGCTGCTTCAGGCTTGGGTCTGCCTCCACCGCAACCGGGTGCTCCCCAGCTCCCGCCGCCCCCTGGGATGAACTCGTCTGAATCTCGGTTCGGCCTTCACTCTCAAGGATCAGTGCCACCGGCGCCTTCGACAGCTACAAAACACATGACCCCTCACAATCACACAAACAACCACGGCGGTCCACTATCGACAAAACCTGGATCAGAAGGGACCTCGAATAATGGCAACCAAATGACCAGTCCTCACGAGTCCAACCTCATTGAGCAGTTCCGTGAGCGGGAAGACAAGCTGTGGGCTTATGTCCGCTCGGTGCACGACGAATTGAATGGACTTCGAACGGAAGTCGCCGCTCTAAGAGCCCAACTTGCGTCCGCTAACGTCAACGCACTAGCAATGTCAAGCCAGAGTGCACCTCAGTCTCAACCCGAGACAAACGCTGCTGGAACATCCCAGCGGTGAACCAGTTCTACTCACGGAAGATCCGTGTCAATGTCTAAACATCTCCTGTTCCTTTTGTTTATTATTAGATATCACCTCCCCATCCCTTCTGTGATGGATTCCAAACGCGCTGATGCGACTCACTATAATACCCTTTCTATCGCCAAGTGAATAATTCTCCTACCCCTGTGACGACTGTCTTAACTCCCATTTCCTTTTCTTATTCCTTTTTCCCCGGTTCGGTTCTTCAATCCCATCTCCTGTTTGCGCGTTGCATTATTCCACTTTGACTATACATCTATACTACTCATGCGGGGATCGCAGAGTCGACCCGCCCTGTTTCCTCTTTTCTATATCGAATCGCACGTTTCCACGTGTGATATCTCATGATTGTGTCTTCTTTGAGGTCAAAATCCTTCTACTCATTTGTGGTAACATTACTTCCGCCTGCCAGTCCCTGAGTAATGGCAGGACATGTTGGAGGTTCCTGATTCATAGGGTCATTCGCACATCTTCTCTACTTTAGCTGGATGACAGCAACCCATGTCTTTTTATATCACGTTGTCTTCTTGGGCGTCCCATAGCCGCATGCCTTGTATGTATCAGCATCCCATTGCCGTGAGAGAGGAGCCGGGAGTCTGGAGGCCAAAAACTCGATTTATTAGCTCAGGCGATCACTATGCGTGAGCGACTGGCTTGATTAATTCAATTGTTCATTCAATAATGAGAAGTGATGTAGCGTAATCTACAACTCGCACCGTGACACATGAAGTGACCTCGAAGTACTTCTTATTTTGCACCATTGTACCCAGTAATTACCTCCTCACTGTCTTAAGAGTTGTCTAAAGACCTTCGGCGGGCCGTCCAGGCCAGAAACAAGCCCACATCAGCGACAACAGCCTTAGGGACTCCGCCCATGGTCCAGCTCCGCTGGATCCACCGAGGAATCGCCCCGCCAGCATCGGAAGTAGTCGCCATGGTCCATTGCAGCCCGTCCGCCGTCGCAACGACCTCCTCCACACTTGCATAGGACGCGAAGATCGTATTCCGGGGCACTGCCGCCATGATCTTCTCCCGGATAGCGTCGGGACTCGACTCAACAGCAAGTGGGATCTGAACTGTCACGAACCCTTGCTGCTCCCCTGCTGCTGCTGCTGCTGCTCGGTCCGCCGAGATCACTAAGACCAGGAACGAGCGAGGCGCAATTAAAACTGTGGGTTGGAAGGTATGCGTGATTAGGTTCACTGCATAGATTATAGTATGTAATTAGTATGTTTTTATCCCTACACACACGCGCGCACGCGCGCAACACACTATAATCTCCAAAGGGAATCAAAGATGTCGCCAGACAAATGAGGAAATCCAAAGCGAAAAAAACAAACAAAAAAAAAAAAAAAAAAGAAGAAGAAGAAAACCATGGAGTAGTACTAACCATGAACATCCACCTTCCCCCAACCACCCTCTACATCAACCTCAGATGGCCACTCCAGCAACTTCACCACGGACGTCACACTCGGCGTATAATCCATTTCATTTTCGGAGTGGTTTTCTCGTAGTCCGGAGCGGAATTCTTTCCATGAGGCGGACCCCGTCACTGCTGCGTCTTGGTGCGTGCTTTGTCGACATACCCAGTAGTCTCCGGTTTCAATGTCGGTGCGCGTGTAGAGGTGGACGGCGGCGGTGGATGGCGATACGCGGCGGGGTTTGCGGTCGCGGCGGAATGTGGTGGGGATGGAGGAGAGGAGGACTTGGGATTCGGTGAGGCAGGCGTGGAGGAAGGAGCGGAGTTGGGGACGAGATGGGGTTGATGGTGTTAGTGAGGAAGTGGTGTTTGTTTCGTCAAGAAGGGTGGGATGAGAGGGGAGGATGGAAAAGGGGTGTGGGTTGAGATGGAGGTACATGATCGTGGGATAGGAGTGAAAGGTTGAGTGAATTGAAGTAGTTGGATAAGTAGTTAGTGATGGTTTGGGTTATAAGTGGAGGGAGTTCACGTCTCAATTAGATGTTACTAGTATGATGTAGTATCGGGTGGAAGGGGATATTAATATTTTCATTATCCTTCCTCCCTTCCTTCCTCATTGCTTGCTTCCTCTTTCAGCTCATTCCTCTTCTCTCAGATGCAAAACACCAACACCCGTTCATTTCAATTGGGTTCATTAGACTTCATCACGGGCTCCGGAGTATGATATGTCAGTGGGACTCGACCCACAGGATGCCATCAAACTTAGATATATTCATTGTATAGTATCTGGCGCGCATGCGACGTGTCTCAGCTGGTCGCTTTGACCCAGCACGGTTGAGGCGCAATATATTGCAGCTTCACAAATATATATAGGCCTCGAGGCACATGGTGGGATCCCCAACAATGTCAGAGGTCAGAGGCCACCATATTCGCATCGTAATGGAATTGAACAGCTTACTCTGTCAATAACCATTACTTGCTCTTACCTGCCAGGATATTATCTGATCGTCCGCTTCAACTCTACGCATTAAAAATAGATTGGTCTGGGTATATGCTAGGCTATGTACAGGGTCTATTGGTTCATATATTCATGAGTTCACATGCTCCGAAGAGCAACCTGGAGCATTGAAGGTCATTTGGTCGTGAGAAGCCGTCTGACCCGTTCGACTACGGGCCTATCGGCATCGCGTCCGTGGCAGACGGCTCTGTCAAGCACGCACCGCAATGCAGCCAGGATTATATGGCAGCATGCTTCACTTCGTGCCTCATGTCTTTGGTCTCGAATCATCCTTTGACTGGACAAACTCTTGATCACAGGCAACGCACCCCGGGGCCAACGCTGCCAGTGTCGAAGATTTCGACCAACCCCGCCCCGAGCGCCTCCTCCAGAACCCAGCGGAAGTTCATCCCGTAGAGCTCCTTGTATTTTTTCGTCCGGCCTGGCAAGATGCCGGAAAACTCGCCCCGAACTCTCTTCGCCACACTGAAGCTCTTTTCACTCTCGACTGCCCCATCCCAACGGTCACGCAGGAGGTATACAGGGACCTCGTTCGAGCTAGACCTTTTCAGAAGAGAAAGGAGGTGTGAGCGGCCAGCGCTCAGTAGACGAAGGTAGGGGCCTGTGTTTGGAAGCGAAAGAAAGAGTGTCGCGGTAGTTGATGATGAGCGAGGGTTCGCTCCAACCTCGTTTGGTGAGTAAGCGCCACTTCGGCTTGCGGAGGCTGGAGTAGTCGAGGTTGTAGGGAGAATAGGGAGGGAAGCTAAGCAGGATGAGCCTTTTGCGAGGGACGAGGAAGAGACGAGAAATCCAGCCCGGACCAGGGCCATACACTCCGGCGGAGCGAAAGCGGCTCCGGGGATTGCACATGTGTTTCCGATCCGACCAAGCAGCGCAAGAAATTTCTCTGACACGGATCAGCTTGCTGTCTGAATGACTGAATGGAAGCGATAACCTCACCTTTCAGGGGTGCTTCCAATGCAGGGCTATCTAACACCAAGCGGTCCCATTCCTCGCTCAACACTAAGCAATCGCCTAAGCCCGCGGCATCATTCCCTCTCCCGGGGACAATCAAGCGGCGGACCCGACCGGCGCGAACTAGCTCCATGATTTCCTTCTCAACTTTGGTGGGCGCTTCCAGCAGAGTATGAACGTGTGCGACGGAGGCGAGGGGAGGCAGGGAGCGACGGAAGTTGAGAACCTCGGCGATGCGCGTGCTATTCATGCCCGCTCGGCGGGGCAGATCTTCAAACATGCTGTTGCGAATGTACTGGAGAGCCTCGACCACATCTGTTACGGGAGCAGTTTCGGGGATGTATCGTGATGGTCCGAAATCCGGAAGGGGTCCTTGCTCGTACTCATCCTGCTCGCTGGAAATCTTGGAGATGCCGGATGATGATGACGGCGCCGAAGGTTTGCGACGGGCATGGGCGGCGAAGGGAGAGGCCCGCGGCCTGGGGGTAGCGGGTTTTCGGTTCTTCCTGATACCAGAAACGGGAGCCGAAGTAACGCGCAAGGGCATGGCAGGGTGAGTATAGAGGGGAATCAGGAATTAGGGAGTAGTAGGAGAGGGAACGAAGAGGAAGAAGAGGAAGAAAGATAGAAGCGGAGAATCGATGCGCCGGAAATGGAAGGGAGGGATTAAGCGCCTGAGGCAGCCGAGACTGATCGGCGGAAGATAAGGTCATGTGACCGACTAGCATGATTTGGGCCAATGGCGGGACTGAGTGGAGACCCGTGAAGAACATCAGCAGAAAGACTTGTTCAGAGTCCCCCAAAGCAGGGGAATCATTAGGCAAAAAAAAACAGGGAATGCCAGAATAGTACACAAAAATAATTCTGGTAGACAAGAGAATCGTCTGATGGAAATGGAGATAATTACCTAAGAATGGTGTCAACTTGGAACCAGACATACCCAACAGAATCAAACCAAAAAAAACCCGCTGGGTTGCTTTGCTTTTCCTTTCACCAGCACATGACGTAGCCATGAGAACCTGCACTTTTTTGTTCTTCCATTCACCTTCTTCCATCTTCTCCCCCCCCGTTTCCTCCCTGTCCATCCCTTCCTCTTCTTCCCATTGTCCCGTCGCGATCTGCCTCTTGGTCGTAGGTTAATTGTCAGTCTTCTGTACATCTCGCCCTCGTCTTTTACTCCCTCTTCTCTTTCGGCTACTGGGTTTGACTCGTCCTGGGGTCCCAGCTACCCCGCTGTCAACATGACTATCTACATCGCTTCACTGTAAGTGACTACCCACTATACACCACTCTTAGGGTCCTCTCTGACTGGCGTGCGGTTCAGTTTCCTACCCTACACGGTTAATTTCCATCAGAATGAACCCGAGATTCGTCCGGCGGAGGGGACGAGTCCTCAATCAACCAATCCCGCGGAGAATCCTACTCCTAACCCGAACGCGACTCTGAGCTTGTTCGAGAGGAACAATGGAGCGCCCCAGGTTGGCCTTACACCTGGTGCCACTACTGAACATGAATGCATCTTCTCCACAGATATTTCCAAGGCGGAACAAGAGCACACCGGATATCCTTTTCCCAAGACCGACGGCGATGTGGCCTTGTTGACGGAGAGCGAAGCTCACTCCCCAGCCTGGGGTTCCACCTTGGCCCTGAACCAACCTCGCCCGCGAGCGGCATTTCCGGCCTCACCCTCAATCCTCAAGCATCAAGAAATCAGACCCTCGGGGACGGAAGCGCCCAAAGAAAAGCCGCGATCGGTCCCGAAGACGCCAACCTCGCATATCCGGGATAGCTGGGCGGACCACAGCCGCAAAAGCTCATTCTCCTACGCCGACTGGACGATCGAAACGGCCGAGCAGGGCAACGGAGGCTTGCGCAACGCCGTGCGATCGGCCACGGATGCCGGACAGCTGGAAGACAAGGTCTGGGTGGGTACGTTGGGAATGCCCACTGATGCGCTGCCGGAGCACACCAAGGAGGCCATCGCCGAGAAGCTCGAAGATGAGTACGGCTCCGTGACCGTTTACGTCAGTGACGGTGACTTTGATGGCCACTACACCCACTTCTGCAAGACGATCCTCTGGCCCGTGTTCCATTATCAGATTCCGGACAACCCCAAAAGCAAGGCCTATGAGGATCATTCCTGGATCTACTACGTCAAAACAAACCAAGCCTTTGCCGAACGCATCGCAAAGAACTGGAAGCGTGGTGATTCCATCTGGGTGCAGGATTATCACCTACTGCTGGTCCCGGCCATGCTGCGGAAACTGCTTCCCGATGCCCAGATTGGCTTTTTCCTCCACATTGCCTTCCCATCGTCGGAGGTGTTCCGGTGCCTGGCGCCTCGCAAGGAGCTTCTCGAGGGAATGCTGGGTGCTAATTTAGTCGGGTTCCAGACGGATGAGTATTGTCGGCACTTCCTCCAGACGTGCAGCCGCATCCTCAATGTGGAGGCCACCAATGATGGACTGCAGTTGGAGGATCGTTTTGTCAACGTGAGCAAGTTCTCGATCGGCATTGACCCGACTTCATGGGATCAACGCCGGCAGGCCGCAGACGTGGAACGATGGATTAAGACCATTTCGGAGCGTTACGAGGGCAAGCGACTCATTGTGTCACGAGACAAGATTGATCAGGTACGCGGGATTCGGCAGAAACTGCTGAGCTACGAACTCTTCCTCAACACGTATCCCGAATGGCGAGACCAGGTGGTGTTGATCCAGGTGGCGACCAGCACCACCGAGCAGCCCGAGCTGGAAGCAACCATTTCCGATATTGCGATGCGGATCAACTCCACTCACTCCACGCTTGCGCATCAGCCATTGGTCTTCTTGAAACAGGATCTGGCTTTCCCCCAATATCTTGCCTTGATTTCCGTGGCAGACGCCTTGATTATTACCAGCTTGCGTGAAGGAATGAACTTGACCAGCCATGAGTTTGTCTATTGTCAGGACGGTAAATGGGGCAACAAGAAGTACGGATCTCTGATACTGAGCGAGTTCACTGGTAGCGCGTCTGTGTTTGGCGACCATGCCCTTCTGGTCAACCCCTGGGACTACCGTCAATGTGCGGAAGCCATCCATACCGCCTTGTCGAGGGATGAGCAAGAGCGCCAGGAGGTGTGGACGAAGATGCACCAGGCAGTGCTGCAGAACTCCACCCACAATTGGGTCAAGTCATTCAGTGAGACGTTGAGCCGGGTCTGGAACGAGCAGTCATCCCGGGAAATCATGGCCGTGCCTCGGCTCCAGACAAACAAGTTGGAGGAAATGTATCATCGGTCGTCGCGCCGGCTGATCATCGTGGACTATGAAGGCACACTCGCCTCCTGGGGCTCACCAAAGAGTATCATCGTGACGACGCCGCAGCGTGCAATCACGACGCTGGCCGAACTGACCGAGGACCCGCGGAACGTGGTGTATGTGATGAGCGCCCGCATGCCTGAGGAGATGGAGCGGCTATTCCGGCTGGTCACCAACCTGGGTCTGATCGCCGAGAACGGGTGCTTCGTGCGCGAGCCAAACTCGGAGACCTGGCTGAAGCTAACGGACAAGGTTCAGACGGATGCGTGGAAGGCGGCAGTGTCACATATCTTGGAGTACTACCAGGAACGCGCAGAAGGCAGCTGGGTGGAACAGCGGCACTGCTCGCTCATGTTCCACTACGAGTCGGCGGAAGACCAGGTGGCAGCGTCGCGGCTGGCGTCGGAGTGTGCGGGTCACATAAATGATGCCTGTTTGAGTCAAGGGGTGCATGCAGTGCCCGTGGAGCGTGCGCTGGTGGTGGAGCCGGCGGGCATCAACAAGGCGTCGGCGGCGGAAGTGGCATGGCGGTCATGTCTCAAGCAGAGCCAACGGGACGAGAATGTGCCGCGGCCGGATTTCCTGCTGGCAATCGGAGATGGTCGCGATGACGAATCGGTGTTCCGGTGGGCGAACAAGCTGGACAATGCGCGGGCAGTCAACTACGCCATGACGGTGACGCTCGGATCTCGTAGCACAGAGGCAAAGGCAACTTTGACACAAGGAGTGACTGGTAAGATTTCATCCCTAGATTGTAATGAGTGGAAGGATGCTAACTGCACGGTGATGGATAGGAGTCTTGTCGTGTCTGGAGAAGCTGGCGGCAACCCGAAGTGGGCCATGAAAAGACGAACGATGCGGAATGAGCATATCTATGAGTACATGACTTGAAGCGTACATGATGGACTTGCGTTGCATGAAATGGGTACATATCTCGGGCATATCAGTACACTGTTATTTGAACATCTCCAATTACAAAAGCAAGAACAAGCAGACAGGCGTGCGGGCTGGATTTTAATGTATTTGAAAAGAAATATAGAATGAGAGGGAGAGAGAGCAGCTGCGGGAGTTCAAGGGGTCACATAGACGAGGCCATAATACACGCAGAATCTCCAAACCACATAGTCTAATATGAAGTCGTAAACTATGTCCCTGATAGTGATCTACACAGTAACAACCAATAGATAACTCACTGGGTAGTGAATAGATAACTAGTTGAATCTTGTGACGGGTTAGTAATCCGCTCAGTGGAAGATTCAACCGAGGCATTTTCCCGCTTCGGACTTGGTCTCCCTCGGTATCCATTCTTGTTTTAGATAGAACAGCCAGATAACCAGATAACTAGATTTTCATCTCTCTCAACTTTTGGTCTCTCCTTTTCTTCCATGGATAGAATGTACTGACCGGAGACTCTCTCTAATACCTACACATACATACACCACACCACCTTCCTTCCTCCATAGAAGACCGACCTACATACCGACAATGTCTCCCCCTCATCCTCCAGCCCACGGCCCGGCCTTCGAGTCCGCGATCAAAGTAACTCCCCTCAGCTCGCACCGCTACTCAGCCCATCTTCGCAAAGAATGGTGTATTGGAGCAGGTAGGATATATACATACACCTTGCCCCCCTTCTCCAACATATCGCATACTTACTGCCTACTACAGTTCCCCATGGCGGCTACACCTCCTCCGTCCTGTACCGTCTCGCCCTCGTGCACTTCGCGCACACCCACCCAACTCTCTACAAGAACAGTCCCGCGACCCCGATCTCCATGCAACTAGCCTTCCTCCGCCGCACGTCGGCCGGTCCCGCCGTGCTGAAAGTCGAGGATACGAAGCTGGGACGGCGGACGAGCACGCTACATGTGATGCTACTCCAGAAGCCTGATAGCGGCAAGCGGAAGCAATCGCAGGCGTCTACTACGGAGGGGAAGAAGGGTGAGGATGACGACGAGGACCTCGAAGTCAAGGTGGCAGGATACATTACCGTTAGTCCTGCGGACGCTGAAGAGGGACTTAGTGCTACGACTGGGTGGAAGGTCAGTAGTCCTGCGCCGGCGGCTGGATCGAATGGAGATGGGTCGGTGAACTTCGGGACGTTAGGAAAGACAGGGCGCGATGGGGCGTGGGGGAAGCTTATACCGGAGCATTCGGAGTTCCGGAAGGCGACGGGGCAGACGGAGTTCTATGTGCCTGTGGAGCTTAGTGCGGAGGAGAGGAAGCAGAGGAAGATGAATGCGGAGCAGTGGGCGAGGTTCCGACCTGCGGGGGATGTGAATGCCCGGTGGACTAATGAGGCGCTGGTGTATTTGACGGATATGTTTCCTACGGCGTTGGCTGGGTTTGATGATGCGGCGGAGGAGGCGGCGGTTGGGGGTGGGAAGGGGTTGTTTTGGTTCCCCACGGTCACGTTGAATATTGATCTGAAGAAGAGGCTGCCCGAGGAAGGGGTCGAGTGGCTGTATAGTCGGGTGTATACGAAGAAGGTGCGGGATGGACGCACGGATTTGGATGTCACGGTGGTGGATGATAAGGGGGATGTGGTGGCGTTGAGTACGCAGGTGGGCTTGGTGTTGAGTGCCAGTCGCAATATCGGGTCTCGTGCGAAGCTGTAGATGTCTCGCTTTCTTTTTCTTTCCATCCTTCTTTTTCTGGCTCATCATCACAATCATCCTCGACCCCGTTCCTTTCTTTCTCTCTTTGTCTCTTTCTCCGAACGACCGGCTCTATCTACCGGTCGATGCAATATGTACATATACTATATACACGGGTTATAGAATCTAGATCTATAGAACACACAGCAGAAAAAAAAAAAGAAAGTCTTAGAGCGACGGTCCCGTCTGCATCCAGAACGCCATCGCATCCGTGGTAAGGCGCATTGGTTCGCCCTCTGCCTTGGGAGAGGTAACGGCGCCTTCTGTATCCTGTGGCTGGAAGGCCTGCGCGCGCACCCAGAACTTGCGACCCACACGAGCGAGGACCTTAGTCCGAACGACCAGATACCCCGGCGCAGCAACGGGACTCTTGTAGCGGATGTCCAATTGGGCAGTATAGAGCATTCCGCGCGGCGTAGGCGGGACATGCGGGCCATCCGGCTGCTCATCCTCTACCAACTTCGGGCCCGTCTCCGGCGCATACAGTGCCACAGCATAGGACATGGCCTCGTCGAGGGACGTAGCCAGGACTCCGCCATGAGCAGTGGACGGGTGGCCCGAGACACCAGGAGCAGCAATGTCGAGGATGAGGATCAAATCGGGGTCTTCAAGTGGAGTCGGGGCGCCGGTGGGAGCGGGCCAGGTGGGCGGAGAGTTGGGGAGAAAAGAGAGGAGATGCGGACGTCGACGGAGCGTCAGGACGTGGGGGATAGTGCGGGCGGTGGCTAAGGTGTTGGCGAAGTAGCCATCCTCGCCGGTGGAGGGTTTGGGGATGCGCGAATAGGTGCGAACGGGGAGGTAGTCTGGGTGGTGGAGGAGAGATCGGAGAGATGGGGAGGTGGCATTAAGGAAGGGGGATAAGGAGGCGGGGTCGGGGGTGTCGAGGATTGAAGAGGACATATTTACAAGTCGGTAATGTATGATTGATGTGGAATTAGAGGGATAGGAGGTGGTGTGGTTGTGTGAGGTGTCGATTTGAGATAGATGATATGATGTTTCAGAGCAGAAGAGAGGGATGAGGGGAAGGGAGGCAATAGTTTGGATGGAAGGAATGAGTGGAGGAGATCAGCCGAGGGACTCGGCGGGAATCACATTGTTGCAGCTTTTCCCGCAAGGTACAATACCGTCAATTTACTCAGGTTGGTATGGTTCCTGGTAAAGAACGTCTGTCTCGGACGGTACTGAACCGGTTACTACTTGGGATACCGGAAGTACCTTGCCGGATTGGGGCATGACTGTTTTGATATCATGTGCCCAGCCTTGAATTCGGCAAAAGCAAAGCGGAGTAAATCCTATTCATTTTCATTCAGGATTGCTCACTTCTTTTCTATACAGTAAAAACCACTATCTATTTATTCGACTTCATATTTGGCTAAACATATCTCCGTCGCCACGCCCAATTATTTGCTAGTAGTTGTCTGATGATGACTATTAATATCATCCCATCAACACCATTCCCCTGACACACCGGACAAGAATTGACAAGACTGCTTGCTTCCCTTCTGCCGAACTGACTGGCTGGATAAACATTTGGAAATCACCTGAAGCCCGAGCTACGTATGCCATGGACGCCCGTCGCGACTAACGCTCGACTAGTTTTTAGGCTCCAGTTCTGCAGCCACTCATCTGTTGCGCCGGTCACTTTAGCTCACGGCGCTACCGGGGATGAATCGATAACAAAGAGGAGAAATCAGACCTGCGAGGGCCCCAAGAGGGGACTCACTCACACCGAATATCCCGGATCAACCAGCCGCCAGCATTCTCTCATGCCATTCCATTCAGGTAAAAAAAAAGAGGGGAAATTCTGAAAAATAGTAGAAGAGAAAAAAAAAATTGGAGAATTGTTGCACATTCCAGGCAGCGACAATTGGGTAGAAAATTCTTCAATTCTCCAATTTTTTTGCCTTTGCCTTTTTACTTTTCTATTGGTGTCTCTTGTCTCTGTGGTGAGTACTGAGTATGTCTTGGAGAGGAGTTTGTCTCTCTTGCAGGTGGACCAATGGAAAACAGACAGGGCATCTGCAAGTCTGCGACTTCCTCCTCGAGGGTTAATTAGCATCCCTCGCGTAGGGCAACAAACAAATCGCCGGCCAAATCATGAGTCCGTCGCTGCACCAAAACAAGGAACGGGAAATTGGAGCCAGAAATGAGGGGGAAAGTCTGAGAAACAGACAGAGATGATTATCGACTCTCTTCCAATTTGCTTTCGAATTGAAACACACGACGTATGGATGTTATCTGTTAGTTTGAGTACTATTATTATTATACTATTGTTTCTTATTATTATAATTATTATGATCAGGACTCCTGCACCGTCTCTCCTCCTGCAGACCCAGTCAGTCCTTAGTAGTACTTAGTCCAGCTAGCAGCAGTATCTATCTAGTTCCTTTAGTTATACTACTTGCTAGTAGTTTAAACGCATCCAATCGCTCTCCTCCACTGGTTCTCATTCACGTCCCGGAAGCAAGAATCTGCTGCTCGAATAAAATAAATCAGACTAAAATAAATAAACAGCCGGAATTCCTGTCTTGTTTTTGCTGCCCCTTCCCGTTTTGTCCTCTTATCGCCGGCTTTCTTCTTTCTTCCCTCCGTCGCTTCCTCTTCTTCGCTTCTCTTCTCTTCTCCTCTTCCTCTTCCATTCTTCTGCTGCCTCTTCTTCTTCTTCTTTCTCCTCCTGGTCTCTCTTCTTTCCTTCTCCTCTCCCATTCCATCCATCCATTGATTGTCTGCCTCTTTTATCTCATTGCCAGACTATCCAATCCCAGATAAACATCTCATACCTCACCAACAATCTATCTTACTTCCTGCATTTCCTGCTTAGCTCTACCAGCAGTAGCTCTTTCGCCATGCTTCCTCTCGTCTTGATGTCTCTGGCTGTCGCGGCCACCGCGTCCAGCAACTACACTCTTCCCAGCGACTTCAACATCAGCGCCATCAGCTTGTCGGAGCGAAGTAAGACCCTTCTGGTGGATGCATGACCAGCACTCATTTACTGACTACTGCCCTCTAGACTCCTGGTGCACTGCTGAGCGCAACTCTTGCCCTGAAATCTGCGGAGGTGTTGCTACGAGCAACTCGTGTGATCCGGTAGGTGGCACCAGCACTCTCGGCACTTTTGTACCCTTGCACCCGCTAACCGGTTTGGCAGAGCACCCTGGACTTCTCTTGCGTCTGCTCCAATGGCTCCACTGCCGATGTCGCGGAGTACACTCAGACCATCCCCTTCTTTGTCTGCGAGGCCACCTACGCTCAGTGCATTGAGGACTCGCCCTCTCTCGATGAGCAGGAACAGTGCCAGGAGACGCGCGACAAGGACTGTGGCACGCTGAATGCGTCGGCCTCAAGCACTACTTCTTCGACCACCACGACGGCCGCCTCTCTGACCACGTCCACGGGCTCGTCCAGCAGCACCGGTTCGGGTAGCAGTGGATCGAGCGCCTCTACCACCAGCAGCAGCAGCTCGTCTTCTACCACTGCCAACGCGGCGATGCGTCTGGCTCAGGAGCACGCCACGGGCCTGTTGGCGACCGTGCTGTTCGTTGGTTTGCGCCTGATTCTGTAAATGATCAGTCTTGGGTGAAAGAGAGATGGGGAGTACTGTTATTGCTGGATGTAATAATCACATTGGGGTCGCAATTGGCCGTGTTGTAATAAGAAGAGGGGGGGGAAGATGTTGTAATGATGGCCGGGGAAAAGAAGGAGGATTCCAGTTGCAGTTGCATGTTCTACGACTTGATGGTTCTTTTTATTTTATTCTCGTACGATTCCCCCAAGCGCGCCTGGGAGTTATTCTTGTAATAATTGCAGATTGAGTACTGAGTTGATTAGTATGAAATGAAACCAGAAAAAAAAAAAGTTGTGATTGTTGTTTAAGACTTCTGAAGTAATTGAACAATAATAGTACTCCGTAGTAAATGTCGAGACGATCTCCCGATGCAGCGGCGCCAAGAGTTTTTCCCACACTGAATTTTCTCCACCGCCCAAATCCCTTCCACAGAGTCAGTCTCGCAACACCAAGTCGATTCGATCACTCCCCAAAGCCTCTTCTCGCTTCTTTCCCTCTTTCCCTTCCCTCTTCCTTTGATTTCTTTCCCTCCCTTTTCCCCCCTCACCCTTTTCTCACAACCTCCCATCCCACCATGCCCGCCCCCTCCACCACCCTCCTCATCGAGGGTTCTTTCACCGAGCTCGCCGACGAGTTCGCCCAGTACATCGACGCCCTGCGCAAGTCCGAGGCCTCCAGCAGTCTCCAGTCCGAGATTTCCCCGCTTCTGCAGCCCCTTCGTGAGCAGGAACAATCCGAAGCAGAGCCCGACCGCAAGCAGCGCGATGAGGTCCTCAAGAAGTTGGTCTCCGCGGCCGTTGTCCTGAACAGCGCCCCCGAGAAGGGTACGTATTATCGATAGAACACCCCTCTATACACGAAACGTTGATCCAGAGACTGACGGACGGACGAAATGAATTCTATTATACAGAGATCATCTCCGCCTACAACCTTCTTGTCCACCTTGTTCACCAGGCCTCCGACCCGGATATGTTCCTGTCCCGCATCTGTACCTACCTCGCCAAACCCATCTCTTCCTCCCCTCAGTTCGGCCCCTCCTTGGCCATCTCCATCCTGTCCACCATCTTCAACACCCTTGCTCCCTCCGACTCCAGCCGCTACCACGTTCTCCTGGCTACCGTCGCTGTCATCCGCCAGTCCAGCTCGTCCATTGCCTTTGACGCCCTCAAGTCCCAGCTGGCCGCTCAGCTGCCCAGCTGGCTCGCCGCCTGGGAGCTGGACGCCGACGAGGCCCAGCGCCTGCACCTCGCCATTGCCGATGCCGCCCAGGCCTCTGGTGACCCTGAGTTGGCTCAGACCCACGTCGTCCAGGCCCTGCAGACCATCCCTGCCGCCAACGCCAGCTCCCCCGAGGCCCGCGATCTCGCTGTCCGCGCCCTGACCTCCGCTCTCACCCACCCGGCTGTCTTCGACTTCACCCCCCTGACTGCCTCCGACGCCGTCCAGACCCTCCGGTCCAGCGACAGCACCCTCTTTGAGCTGCTCGAGATCTTCACCGCCGATACCCTCGACGCCTACGAGGCCTTTATCTCCGCTACCCCTCTGGCCAGCATCTCCGGCGGCGTTCTGGCTGAGGCCGGCGAGGCCCTGCAGAACAAGATGCGCCTGCTCACTCTGGCCTCCCTGGCTGCTTCCACCCCGTCCCGTTCCCTCCCCTACGCCACGATCGCTACGGCCCTCCGTGTGGAGCTCACCGATGTCGAGAAGTGGGTTATTGACACCATCCGCGCTGGGCTCGTCGAGGGTAAGCTGTCTCAGCTGCGCTCCGAGTTCCTGGTCCACCGGGCCACCTACCGTGTCTTTGGCGAGAAGCAGTGGGCCGAGGTGCAGGGTCGCCTGATGGTCTGGCGCCGCAGCCTGGAGAACGTGCTGGGTGTTGTTCGCAGCGAGCGGGAACGGTTTGTTCGCGAGGGGCTGCAGGCGGCCCAGGCTGCCGAGGAGGCTGCCCAGGGCAAGGGTAACGACAAGAAGGGTGGTGACCGTCGCCGTCACAACAACAACAACAACCAGCAGCAGCAACAGCAACAGCAGCAGCAAGCACCTGCGGCGCCCGCCGCTGCCCCGGAGGCCGTTGCCGTGGAGTAAAGGACTGATGACCGTTTGGTTGAATGATTGATTGATACACAGAGAAGCATACACATTGGGATGAATGAATAAAAAGTTTTCTGTGTGTTGTTGTGAGTTGTGGGCTTGGAAGGTGTTCTTTCTATGTTAATGTTCTGCTGTGTCTACACTTTTTTTTTTATCCCCATTTCCCTTTATTTCCATCTCACGGGCTCAAATTTCCTTTTATTTCTCTTTTTTATTTATCATGGTAGCTATTGGATTCTAGACAGGTTTATATCCACATTTCATCATGAGAAGGTGGGGGGAAAGCCTGACTGACAATGATACGAGTTATGCCGAGTGTGTAACTGAGTTTTTATGTATATTCCCAGGTACTACTCAAGTACTACTTTATACATACATAGACCAATATGGGATGGTGCAGCAAGGGTAACTTCAGTTACTCAGATATAAGCACATATATATATATACAGTAGTAATCAGGATATGATGTAGTTAAATTTACTACCCATCAATGTGGCTCTCACGTATCTACCTACCATCTATCCATCTATGTACCACCCAACCATACACACATGATATAATATTTTCAGAACCCAAAAAAACCAACCTTACAAAGGATTAATGCCCTTACTCTTGAAACCCTCGCGAATGCGCTCATACACCTCATCGACCGATCCCGTCGCCGTCACCGAAACCACCTTATTTTGCTCCTCGAACGCCTTGACAACAGGCATACTAGTCTCGACGAACGTACGGAACCTCTTCCGGATACTCTCCGCATTATCATCATCCCTACCGGAGGTCTCTCCACGCTTCAACAACCTCGTCTCCATGACCTCCTCAGGACAATCCAAGAACAAGGTCATCTCCGACGGACACACGGTATCCTCGAAGAACACGGCCTGGTCGAGCTTGCGGGGGAACCCATCAATGAGGAAGCGGGGCTTGGGGCCACCCGCTTGCTGTTGTTTCTCGCCGGAGGCCAGGGCGTCGGCCATGGCGTTGGACAGCAATGCGACGGTGATCTCCATGGGCACGATCTTGCCCTCGCGGATGTAGGTCTTGATGAGGTCGCCGTATTGGCTGCCTTCGCGGACTTGCTCAGCGCGCAGGAGGTCGCCGGCGCTCAGGTGGGTGAAACCGTAGTCGCGGACTAGGTTGCTGGATTGTGTGCCTTTGCCACTGCCGGGGCCGCCGAGGATGAAGACCACGGTGATATCGGCGGGGGAGAAGCGGGGTTGGGTGGTCATTTTGGTGGTGGTGGTGGTGGTGGTAATGGTTGGTTTTGTGGGATCGGATTCTGGGGAGGAAGGGAGGTGAGGTAGTTAGCTTAGGTGCTTGTTTGTTTGTTTGTTTGTCGGCTCGTTGATTGGTAGGTAGACAGGGGAGGTTGTTATTGTTGGAGGGGAAAAGAGGGGTGGTGGTGGGCAGTGGTGTGGGTTTAAGGTACAGAGAAGAGGGACATACAGTTGGAACCGGGCTTGGGTTTATGCACGCCGGTGCGGGATTTCACGAGTAAGACGTAGGAACCGGTGCCCACAGCAAAGAGGGCAACAAAGGGGAGGACTTTGAAGTTGGAGCGGCTGTATTGGGTAGGGTTGTTGGAGGATTGAGGAGAGGAGGAAGAGGAAGAAGAGAGGGAAGAAGAGGACGAATAGGGGCGATGGAGGAGAGACAGTCGGAGATGTCGGTGGGGGGCCACCACGGGCGGCAGTGTAGCTCCTCGTAGTAGTGACTTGATAGACATTGGGAGGGATGGGATGGGGTGAGGACTGGGGGATGAGGTTGAAGTATTAGAGGGAACTGAAGGGAAATTGATGATAATACAGATTGAGCTACTAAACTGCAAGACTTGCAAAGAAGTTGAACGCAGAAGAGGACAAAGCCAGATGAAGGAGAGGAAAAGAAAAGCAGGAAAAGGAAAGTTGAGGTTCATCTCGCATTCGCTACTTTGGGACTAGCGCGGATGGCCTGATCTATACAATCGGAGAGTGGTGTTACTTACTTCCACTTGTATGGCTTCATCTTCTTCCTCTCTTTCATTTACTCTACATACCATTACTTGAATGCTCTGGTTCATTGTACTGTGGCATCTAATAAAGGTCATGGACAGGTAGGATACTATACATTCACCTCTTGACATCTCTTTCTTGCCAACAATCATCACATCAATACACACATCTACAGCATCTCATCAAGTGAACGATCTCTCGCTGCCACTCGTCCTCAATTTAGTGAACGATTGCTCGCTACCACCACCTGTATCGCCTCATCCTTGCACGTCTTTCAACCATATCCCATTGTCTTCTAGCTGTCTCATTCACCCCAACATTCTCGGCATCTCATAGCTTCTTCCTCCCTGCTCGTGCAGTCTCCCCCCAGCAAGATGCTCCATCCTCACCCCCCAGCTCCAAGAAACCATCGTGCATATGCAAGAGCACCTAGAGCACCCAGAGGTCACTTTCAAGCAGCTCTGCATTCACAGCCTCTTGTACATTCTCAGCCTTTCCCCCGAGGTCAACAGCACCATCCTTTGAACGTGAGTGATCTCTCCCAACATGCAATGCACACACTAACACACCCAGTCCCGCGGAGGACAATCGCATATCTACCAAAGTCAGAGAGGTCGTTCTAGAGGACAAATGTATACAGCCAACTTTCAGCCATCAAGGGGAGCACCAGACAGTAATGGAGCTCCCGGCCGTAGTCGTTCCAACTACAGAGGCCGCAGATCCAGGAAGAAGTTTCCAGCCAATACTAGAACCCAGAACTCCAGACATCTTACCACAATGTCTACAGCTCCATATTTCAGTATCAAACGTCAATCTTCCAGTTCGACCGAAGGGAAAGCAGTAGCGCAGACACCCTCGCCGTTTCAACGGCTCCCACCGGAAATTCGAGACCAGATATATGGCCATATATTTGAGTCTCACCGTGTCGAGCTCATAAGAAGAAGCGAGAAAGATCCGACTAAACATGTAAAAAGAATGTACTATCGCCTCTACCACAACCCCCTTCGATCGCGCGATCCCATCACACAGCAAATCCAGGACCCCTGTCGGAAAAGTCAACTCCCTGTGCCCATAGCACTGGTCTTTACATGTCGCAGTATCTACTGCGACACCCTTTGGTGGCTGTACTCCACTACCCAATTTGTCTTCACTTCGACGAGGACTATGAACCGCTTCTTCAACACCATCCCCTCGGAAGTACAGCCTGCAATTCGACACGTCGAAATCAACCAGGAAATGCACAGTGAACCAAGTCTAACCGAGCATCGTATCCACAAAGTCCGAAGTGACTGGGCTTTTACAATGGCATGTGAGAACTTGGTGAGGTGCTGTTCAGGACTGCAAGTCTTGTACATCTACTTCCGCATCCGTGACTGGCCTATGAGCCTCGAGATCGGCGAAACATGGTCATTGCCAATGATGGCCTTTGCGGAATACAAAGGTAAAGGTGGCTTGGACGTCGTGAGTATCAATCTCGATATGCCGAGGTTTGGGGTACAGAAGTTGAAGAATATGGCCAAAACGTTGGAAAAACGGTTCATGAAGCCTAAGGCGTTTCAGATCAGGGAGGATGAACGACTAGCTAGAGAGTTGAGTTGCTCTTTCATGGAATTGCGGGTTGATGGAAATGACTGATATCTCTCTTTCGTTCATGTCCTGGCCAGTTTGATAGAGAAGATGAAAATCAATAGGGTGTGTTCGAAGGGTGAGAAAGGATTGATCGGTGATATTCTTTCTTCTTTTTCTTTCCTTCCTTCTTCCTTCCTTCTTTTTCGAGTTACTCATTCATGTTTTCATGAGATAACCGCAACATGTTTCTATGATTCGTTACTTTTCTCAATACCCTAAACAGAAAAACAAAAATGAAAATACCACTCAGTTGAGTTGAATCAAAGATACTGGCTGTCTATTTATGCAAGTCCAATTAAATGTAGTCAATATGTACGTCAGTCGTCAAGGGGGGAATATACGGTACAAAAATGGTGTGGGTGTCTAGACATGCATGAACGCCCGCGATATGCAAAAGATAATGACCCGTCTTTCCTTCCTTTCTTTTTCCTTCCTTAATGCCCTTTCAAACAAGCGAGCAAACCCCCAAGTCTTGTCCGCGCCCATATCATCTTCTATCCACAGCATGCTTCCCTCTCTTTTTTTCGGGTTTACTCCCGCGATCTGTCAACTTCTGTCAAGGACTGGCCCTCTTCGGACGGAACCTCGTGGTATGCCTGCATACGACGACGACGAAGGAACCAATAACCGCCTGCCAGGAGCCCGCCCACGGAGCAGATTACCAGAACAGAGATCAACAAGCCACCGACTCCGTGAATAACCTCGTACGCCTTATCCACGGCCATGGCTGCTTGCTTGGCTGCTTCCTTGGCCTCGGCATTGGGGTCCACCTCTTCCACATCTTCCTCCACCTCGGCCTGCTTGGGGCCGTAGAGAATGGTCGGGTCATCGGCGGTAGGCTTCGTGTCACCCTGGAAGCCGGCCAGGCGCCAGTTCTGTGGGGTCTCGGTGCGGTGGATGGGAGAGGAGCCGATGACGTTGCCGTCCTTGTCGACGGCCTCGACGGAGATCCAGTCGAGGTAGCCGTCTGCGATGTACATGGTCTCGAAGTCGAACTTGGTCGTGTTGCCGATCAAGACGGGGATGCCGTGGCGGTCAGCTCGTGCGTAGAAGTTCCAGGTAGCGATGTCGGTGGCACCGTTCCAGCTGACATGGAAGATTGTCGCCAGGTCGGTCTCATCGGTACCGTAGACGGAGGCGATCACGTCCGGAGGAGTGTTGGGGCGGCCGACGAAGGGGAACTTGTACGACCGGTAGGTCGAGAAGCGGGTGGATGCGAAGCGGCCTTGCATGAGGACCTTGCCGTCGGGCGAATGCTCGCTCTGCATGCCTTGCTCACTCCAGCCCACGAAGACGTTTCCGTTCGGCAGGGTCTGAACACTACCACGGAGACGGGTCAGGCCGTTGTCTGGGCGATTGTAGCGCTTGAGTAGACGCGCGGTCATGGGGGTCGTCGTGGTGTCGATCTGCACGAACATCGCTGCGGATGTGTCTTCCTCGTTTTCGGCCTCATCAGAGGCATTGTTCAGGAAGGAGACAACGGCGTGGGTGGCGTTGGACTCGACAAAACGTGCGTGGTGTTGCTTGGAGAAGGTGAAGTCCTGAACGAAGTCGGAGTACTTCCCACCAAGGCGCCATTTGATTTGTCCATCCTCGCCGGAGATCAGGTAGAGGGTGCTCGTGAATCGCGCAGACAAAAGGTAGTCTCCTGTCGTACTCTTGTCAATGGAGTTCACGTGGACATAATCCCAGCCGGGTTGGGAAGCCGGCGGCGAGCGAGAATCGACTTTCACGGACTCGTGAATAGGGATGTAGCCGAGAGAAGACCATTCGTAGAGGACTTCGCCGGTAGCGGTGTCCAGCTCGACGAAGCCACCGGCGACAACCCAGCCGTACTCGTTGGGACGACCGAGGTCTCCCAGGTCGACATATTCGTTGCGGTATGCGCAAGCTAAAGCAGTCTTTCCACCAGGAAGGACATTGAACTCGTGCATGTTAAATGCTGCGAGATCGTTGGTCACCGGCACAGCAGTTTCGACCTCATAGTTTTGGTCGAGAACGTATCCGTATCCTTTGTCCCTACCACCATCCTGATAGCCATGCTGAAGGATGAAGGACAGATGAGATTTGTCGTCGATATTGTTGACGGCTTTGAAATCGAAAATGTTGCGGTTGTCGAACATGCAAGATCCGGCCCAAACCAGAGTCTACGTATGGCCGGTTAGTAAGCTACTTACTCCTTTCGGGGATCTCACTCATTTTTGAGAGACATCCCTTTCCTCACGAAAGGGGGAAATGAATTTCTGGGATAAGGAATGAGAAAACGTACGCCATCTGCATCATAGATGTAGGGTCCAACTTGGCAAGGCTTCCATTGCTTCGTGGGAGCTTCTGGGTCAATCACGCCATATGGCGCAACGAACCAGTAGCCTGGGCTAACCGATTCGCGATCGTAGTATGCAACATTAAACTTCAATGCTCTCACTTCCGGAAGCTGGCTGCTCGTCAGCAAGAAGATCATTTAAATATAAGTACGTTGGAAATTCTCCTACCGTCACAAAGGACATCAAATCATCGTCCGCCTCCGCCTCCGCGACAATCCCGCGAAAAGAAAGAAACAACAGAACCCAGAAGAACAACATTTTTTGAAGGAGTGGCTAGGAGAGGAAGAGTTCCTCCCCCAAGAAAGAAAATTGTGACGATTAGCTAGGGAAAAGGGCAACGATTAGCGGAAAGGAAGGAAGGAGGACAGCGGGAGGCGACCGGGTCATTAAGACAGACGGTCGCTGTCTGTCAAGCAGCCAAGTGGACGTCGGTCGAGGGTATCTATCCGAAAGATCTTCTCCCTGGCGCGCAGGGAACAGTAGTCAAGTATGGAGGTGCCCCCTGCAAGCACACCCCATCCACGACACCGTCGAAACGGAATCCCATGAGCCAGCACAAATTGGGAGAGGCTAAGACTCCGCAAAGCATTACGGATTCTCCATAATTTGGGTCGGGCACGGCCAGTGACAACGTAAGTGCTGATACGGCCGCTGACGATCAGACGAGGCGGACACTCTTGGCAGCGTTTCGGACAGTGGAGCTGCGGGCCACGCTGCGAACTTCATCAGCGCAGGAGACGCTCTGATTGCTGGATAAGGTGCAGCCGGAAGTCGCCCAGATTCGTGGACGGGTCATCCCATGATCCCACTGGGTGGCCACGCCAAATGAAGCGACTTGACCCGGTGATTCTACGCTGGAGGTGTGAATATATCGAATCTTCTGAACCGCCACCCCCAAACCCTCTTGTTCCCTCCCTCTACGTGGAAGGGGAAGGAGGGGAGGCTGCGTTATGTGAGTATGTATGTGAGCAGCAGCGCCACTAACCCCGAGTTGATTCGGACCTCGGGCATGAAACATTAAACTCTTTTCCACCCCGAGTTTACCCCTTCCGGAGATCTAGACCGACTGAGTCGCGAGTGTGTGGCTGAATGGACTATTGGGAGACCCATGGCTATGGCCGGTTATCTGATTCTACCCGCAAAATCAGTTGTCAATTGGCGACGGTCCACGTACACCCAGTTTCTTCCCACGGACTTGGCGCACTAAGCGAAATTGGCCGTCTAAGACTTACTTTTCTGGAAAGAGTTCTATGGTGAGTCTCCAATCCGGTTACCCGCAACCACGAGCGAACCGTGCCGCCTGGGGAGAAAATTCCTGGCGGATTGGCGAATGAGAGAATTCATGGCATGCCGGTGTCGGTGTCATTTGCCAGTTCAAAGTTCTTAGACCCATGGACGCCTCAGGCTAACCGCCGACTCCATCCAGGAGAAGCGATCGGCAGTCCATAGATATAGGCTCTCTTTTCCATCGTCCCAGACAGATTATCTTAGTGATTATCATGGATACGCTTGCTTTGATCAGCGGGTCTTCTCCGTTAGCACCGGTGGTGGTGAGCTGAGTTTTGCTCCGTAGCTTGGGCGATCTGGTATGATGGTATGCGTGGTGCAAGGGGGAAGAAGGAAGGATCTGGATAAAAAATGAGACTCTTTTTTTTTTTTTTTTTTTCCTTTTCTCGATCTCTGATGGGCCCCTGGAAATGGTTCCTGATTCCTGAGAGGTCACGATGCACAATGTCCGGGGTAGCCCAACAAGCTATGGAGTAAAGATAAGAGTCGCTTGAATTGGCGAGGTGAGGGAGGTGTGCAATTGAAAATGGACTGGCGTGACCACCTGACAAGCCACGTGATGGTTATACAATCCTCGAATTGGCTTTCGTCCAGCCATCCAATATTCATCTTTGCTGCGATCAACTCCTGTTCGTTGCACGATCTAGGACGTGCAAAGTATCGATCTACCAAATCATGGCAAATAGGTTTTGGTCTGCGACCATGACTTCTCAGCACTGGAGTAGAAATTGTGGAAAATACCTATTCCCTGTTTCCTGCCTGGGTCAGGCGGTTTCGGTTGTGTGTGGACTACGTATACACTGAACGACAGTTCCGCCAATTCCGTTGCGGTGGGTTGATCTCTGCCAATACAGTTCGGGTGAGGGAGACGATGACGGTTGCCACTCAGTTCTTCCGGCTGGGACTGATCCACTTGTTGAAGACTTCCGTGAAACGAATGCATTAGCCTATAAGGTCAAGCTCATCTCGAGCCACAGGGATCCCCTTCTGGGAAGTGATCGTTGGCCTGCGCAGAGAGTGCTTGGCTGTAGCCAAGTATAAACCTAAATACAGATGTGTACGTATGGCGTGCAGTGACCACCTATCTGCCTACAACTTTTCATCCTTCATGTCCGGTATTTCACCCCTACTCCGGGCGCTGAAGCGGCATAGCTTATGATATCGGGTTCCGCGAATGTCTTCGGCCTATACCTCAGGGTTTCCGACAGAGCTACTAGTAAAAGTCCTTCTGTTCCTAGCAAGTCGTCCAGATTGAGCTGTGGGGGAATTGATTGCTGACACACGGTGGTGACGTTGACTCGCGAAGGGTTACCGGGCCCATCATGAGTTAGCGCGTCGATGGTAAGCGCCCATGCAAGTGGGTTGTATAGCACTCCTTTATGCGTGTACAATCCTCCTGCGGGCTTGTGGGCGCAAATAGACTGTAAGTGATTATTGGACACGCCAACTCCACGTGCATCCTGGAGGATGGCGGATGCTTGGTCTCCATCCATCGGCTGCACAACCTCGTCAAAGGAAGAGTAGATGGTCGTTGTGTGAACATACGCCGACTCACCCCCGAGTGCCCTCAGGGTGCGAACGAACTTAGCGTCCCACCCCTGCTGCCACAGTGCGGGGGTGCACATTATCCCCGCAAGCCAGGGGCACACCAGCCTGGCCTCAACAGTCCCTCGGAAATCGGGGCTTATTGCAATGAAATCCTCCACTGAAGCCCGGGTGGATGGCCAATATTTGAGGGCCCACTGTGTGTTCAACCCGCCCTGGGACCAAGAGATGATGTTAACCTTGGACTGGTAGAGATTGGATATGTAGTTAATGGAATATGCGATGTATTCAGCGGTAACCTGGACATCTCCCAGAGAGGCTTGGGGGATATTGACCCAAGCCACGTCAACTTCCGGGATAGCGTTGCCCAACTTTCCGAAGTTATAATAAAACGATGTTCCAGCAGGTGCGGCCGTTCCTGGAACCAAGATCACTGGTTTCCTTCCACTATTGTTCTCCCCTGGGAAGACAGATGGCATATAGATAGCCTCTCTAAGAGCTGCTTCTGGAATGGAATACGGTGCATCTTCGGTTGTTTTAGATGGGTATATACTCCCGCTTTTGAGGTTGGGGTTTAGGTTATGAGCCGAGTTAATTTTGGCGTTCAAATAACCATTCAAGACGGTGAGGATCCTGGGAGGAACTAGGCCGGAGGCCACTATGTCTTTTGCAAAATCCAGCATTGTCGAGCTGCTCTTCTTGGTGAATATTGCCTCGATCTTTTTCAGTGCCAGTTGCACCTGCTCATCTCCAGATTGTTGCAAAACTTCGTTTGTCGCAAGACCTGACTTGATGCCTGCAGCCACAGACGATACCCTCTTATTCACCAGGGGATCTTTGGCTGCATTCGACAAAATTGAGACAAGATCATGTTCCGAATTTGGCACAGGCGCCTGTTGTTGGGGAATTGAGATGCAGAGGCATACAGGGCTCAAGAGTACCCCAGAAAGGAGATGTCTAGCTAGGGCAGACAGCCGCATGTTATGCAGTTTCAGCGATGCACGATGAGGACTTGAGAGGTGCACCCGCGATGAATGCGCTTACCGGGCAGAGAGAAACTGCTGACGGATATAGCCAGCAAAAGTGTGCCTCGTATCTGACAGCGCAGAGTGTTCCGATTCTTCTTGACAGGCCTCGGTCTCATATGCTGAATTACTCCTCCGTCATTGATTTGCGGTATTGACCTGGAGAGAGCCAAGATCCAGTCGCAGTCTAGACATCAGAAGCGCAAGCCCATGGTTACCGGACATTGGAGCAATTGGATGCGTCTGACTGAGGATATTTGCATTATCACTCAAGGGTCAGCATTCTGTCTGACCTTCAAATGGTCGGTCTCCCACGCCGCGGGCCACCCGTGAGATATCGGTAAAGTAAGGCAACTTTTATGCTTTGCCACTAACTCCGAGCCTGCGCAGGTTATCCTGAATTGATAGAAAATATATGGGGTATGAAGCTAATCAGCAGGTATCTGTCATACAATTGGTCCAAAGCACAACGTCTGCAGCGGTTCATTTGATTTCCCTGTCGCCACTCTATTTCCAGTCGGAGGAAATCGGTGACGGGCAACGGGAGCGTGGAGATGATGGTCAAATGACCATGTTTGCGACGTATGAACAGCCCAGTGGCTTCTTGGACCGGTACTTTGGACGGTTTAAGCAGGAGTGACTGGCTGATGCTGATGTGCCATTGCTCCAGGGCCTTGTCGAGAATACAGCTTGGAGGAAGCAGGTGGTTGAGAAAGGATAGAAGAAGCAATTGAGATTCCAAACCAGCGCCAATGTTCCCCGGATATACAATCGCTACTGGGAACCCAAAGCACTGTAACAGTACCCCAGGCTCGAGTCATCTGCATTGCAATGCAGTCCGGGGAAGACCACAAGTGCAACCACCACAAAGCCAACAACATCCAGCTGTCATTGCTTCAGTATTATCCAAGAGGTTTTCGATCCATTAGTGTTTGGTGTATTCTGAATGACCTCATTATCTCACAAACCCCGCAGACCTCCGTGGCTCCGCCCCGACAGCATCATCCCACTTCATTCCGTCTTATCCAAAGTCTTCGGATTATGTGCTACACGATGCCCATGCTGATCGTGAAAGATGACCTTTGAGAGGGGTGAAAAAGGACCGTCAGCCGCATGTGCCCGATGCCTCGAGTCTGGTCTGCGGGGACTTGCTTACTTTGGGTGGATTGGCTACCTCTTCTTCATGTGCTTCAGCCTCGTCCGTAACGACCTTGTCAACCTGGGTTTGTTCAGTTAGCCGTGTGCTAAGACTAATTACTGAACTGTGAAGCTAACATAAGTCGTTCAACGACAATGGCTCCGAGAGGGGGAACTGTAGGCTTACTTCTCCTTCGTGGGTTCCTCCACGATACCTTGTATACACGTAGTCTCCTTCGTTGATCTGTTCTCCCGTCTTGTCTTGAACTCTTCTCGTCGGCATGATGCGAGAGTGGTTTTTGTTTTATAGCAATATGTCAATTACTGGGTTGCTAGAGAAAGTCAATGCAACAATTAGAAGAGAAGATAATATGATTGAGTAGAATTTGTATGCACACTGGGGGTGATGTCATTATGAGGCAGGAACGAACGCCTCCCGCTGGAGCCTGAAACTATACCAAAAACTACACAAGTATCAAAATGTCAATCTACACATGGCCGCCGGCAATCCCTCATCTGCATGGCGACATTATTGCCAAACACTAAGCACAGATCTAATCTGGCGGATTGGGTTCGGTACGGTCCTATACCACGACTATTGAGACCATCATTGTCAAATATATTCTAAATAATTACCACGGAGAATTTCTTCGTGCCATTATCCTTCTACCAGTAACATGAATATGATGAGCGCTGTTTAGATGAATACTAATCAAGGCTCGACTGGATAGTATTCAACAAGCACACCGCACAGCAATCCTAAAGAAATATATACTTACTTAGTAATGATAGTACCCCTATGAAGGAGATATTGTGAGATGACTGTTTACTGGACTACTACCATCATCAATGAAGCCATCACAAACACATGGATCAAAGAGAAAATGAGGATAGGAACCACTTCACTACCAGCAGTTCTCCTTAAACCCCCAAGCCCCCCTCTCCCAACAGAAAATTAGAAAGTAAGCGCGGATACCGAGCCATTGTCACACAGTGGCAGTGATCCAAGATGGGGAGTGGTGGATGGTGGTAGTGCAAGGCAAAAAGTCGGGTGGACCAAGTAGCTGAGCACGACAGTCTCATTGAATGTATAATATAAGTCCGACATGGTGTGAGTAGTATTATATTGATGAGAGTCATAATGATGATGGTGGTGAGTGGTGTCGCCATCTCTTTGCTGGTCTTACAATGTTGCAGCAGTCAGTGGTGTTCCCCTCTCGGAAGACCCGGACTACTTGGACTTGGCTCATTCGATACGAGGTCATGGAAAATATGTACCCGACCCGCGTTGTCTTTAGTTGGTGAGTAAATCACGTTGCCGGGGCTTGGGTTGCATGACTGCTCACTGTAGATGGGTAGATGGTGCTAGGATTGTGGGTCCTGGGGCAGAGGATACTGTCGACACGGTACCAGATGGTTCATCATTGTAGCTATGTCTTGCTAACAATGTATCTTCGCTTAAGAGTAAGTAGTAGTGACGTGGGCTGAGGGAGAGTGTGAATCCCTCTTAGTAGGTAGTATAGTGACTTTGGCGTCATTTGTATAGTAGGAGATGATGATGATGATGACCATGATATTACGACCTGCCTGGGCAGGACTTGTGGTCATCGAGGTTCTCCCGTAAGCAGAGCTCGCATCGTTAGGGTCAATGTCTGGTGTTCTGGTGGGCCACGTAGGTACACAGACACACGGGTTGACTTTATGGCGTTTATGGCATGGCTAGGTGTCCTGCATGCTCCGTGAAGATATGGGGGTGATGGATGGTTGGGAAGTCATGAGTACCACGTGGGCAGAAAGTGTCTTGGCCCGTATTAGCAGTATCTGATCCCTGGCTGCTATGTGGGAGTGAAACTGAAAGGTGCCCGACTCATCGTATACAAGTAGTAGTCGGTATATGCTATGATTAGATGAAATTTACAGATTGGACACTGCTGCCGAGTCATGACTGATTGCATCAGGCAGCACAGCACCCCGACATCTATCAGAATGGAAAATCAGCGGGGATAGCGCCCCTTGCAGGATCAAAATCTCCTGGGTTTCTTGACAGGCATTTGGTCCCTTGCACCAACCTTGGCCTGTCTGACTGGTAGCGAGGGGACCCTGAAACGCAGAGTACTACTACTAGATAACAGATCGGGCTAGTAGCGAGTTGGTCTAAATTGTCCTTGCCGATAGAGATCGATCACTCCTGAAATGCGGAGATGGATGATACTGTTGCTGATTGTTATTCTTAGTGTGGTTATCGATAAATACCTTACTGACTTTGTGCGTCTCAGCACATGTCCCGTTCCTTGGCGGAATCTCAGGAATGCGCAGTCTCTCTCACTGAGGTGGAAATGGATACCCCTACTTAGTGGTATTTAAAAGTGATATGGTGCTATGATGATTAGTTAATTCGGCCAAGCACTTCCACGGCAAGTAAAACACCCGGATGACATAACCGATCAGATACTAGGTGAGTGTATCTAGTACTAAGCCTGAGTACTTAGTAGCAAGTAAGTAGAATGTGAGTAGTGAGTACTAAAGTAACTTGCCGAGGGAGAGACGGTGATTGGTGGGGAGGAGGATGGGTAAAATGTAACACTCCCGGCCATTGGGAGCGGGCCCACTACCACCGTTGCACCCAGTCGCTCCTCGACAAAACGAAGGTGTCACATTCCAATTCCCTCTGGCTGCATCAGAAGTCCATCATGGGGATTTTTGAGAAAGGAGGAGGGAATGCCAGGGAGGCTGCAGTATATTCAATCATCCTCCTTGAACCCTGCTCATCCCGTTTATCCCGTTTGTCTGTGAGGAGTCACAGTATACCTACATACTCGGTTATGTGACTAGCCGGAAGAGATTGATTTCATTTGGATTGAAATGATTCCTCTGCCTGACCAACTGTTGGAGAACTGGTATAAGGATTACCGAAACAATGTCTAAACCGTATCTACGGACACAACATACACAGGGTTGATGTACTGAAGCCCAAACCAAGCGGAGGGTCGATGACCTCCCCGATCCATTTTGGATGCAACTCTGTCGCTTCTAAACTTCACCGGGCCCCACTTGGTTCATCTGTTCCCATCACGCCGGGTGGTACTCTTCCCTTCCTTAGATCTAATACTGAGTGAGTTCAGGGAGACCCTTTCCCCAGCACGGGAAACCACGTCAATGTCATTGATGGGTGTTTCTTGTTGTCTCATTGTTTCAGTCACCTTTTTTTTTTTTTTTTTTTTTTTTTCCCCTAGTAAGGATCAGCTGACTGCAGTTGAGATCAAACTTCCAGTGAGTTATGCTTATTCTTTATACCCCTGAAGACTGACTACTGGACTACGGAGTATTAAGTCGATGATTAGATCATGCATTCGCCCGATCTCTGCGGATGATTAGATGATGATGATGATAACGCATTGGAACGCTCCTTCGTTTCCACGCGGTGTTCAAATGATCCTTGAATCTGTCTTCCTCTTAGAAAGAGTACCTTCCGAGCATCCGAAGCTAGCCCTGGTCGTTCTAGACCAGGCATGGATCCAGGTCTCACATAAAACCCAATCTTAGTAGTACTGATTATGGAGATGCCTTTTAGCCGGGATGATGGATCAGATAACTATACCATCTCTTGAGTATTACACAATACACCACCACTGCTACTACTGGGTAGGCAGTAGTAGTATCTGTTTCATGCACCATCGCATCATCCTTAGGTTCATGACGGCAGGGGTATTCTTTCGGTCGCCATCAATCAACTTCCGGGGGAAGTCCGAATTATTACCAGCCGACAAGGTAGCAATCGATTCTCTCTGAATCAGTACATCAGATTGATTAGGTAACTAATAGTGTCTTGATCACAATGGATTGGTTTCTCAAGTGAATCTCGAGTCAGTGATTGAATGACGGCATCTGTGTAAGTAATGGAGTCACAGGTAAATACAATACGGAACGAACCAGCTGCCAGGAACCATACCAGACAGACAGAGCAGGGAGGAAGTAGTACCACCCAAGTAAGTCGCAGTCGCAGTTTGGTTAGTAGTCAGTGAGTTACCACCCTGCGACCTGACCGGCAAACCACTGGAAAGTATGATACCGATGGCCTGCAAATTCATGGATTTCTCTTTCCTTTTTTTTTTTTTTTTTTCTATCATTATTAATTTTAGATTTCTAATTTTTTATTTTTTTTTTTATTTCCGCCTTCCTACACTGATGGATGGGATTTCTTTTTATCTTCCCCCCCTTCGAATTGCAGATTCCTCAAGCAAGCCATTCCAGCCTGCGGGAAAGCCAATGCGGACGTTGGTTCCTGACGAGGAATGAAACACGCGTAGGTTGGTTCCCTTTCCTTCATCGTCCCTCTCGTTTCCCGTTTCCTTTTCCCACCAAACCCGGTAGTAGTACCGCTACTACCACTTACCAACTAATACTACTACTGCTAGTTACCACTATTACTATTTACTACTACCACCGCTACTCTCCTGCTAAGAATACTTTGCGACTCCCAAAACTACAATACAATCGATACCACTCACGACTACTACCTCTACTTGCCCTTCACTCTTTCTATTCCCTTTTCTCTTCTTCCCCCTCTCCTCTCTTTCCTTCTCTCTCTTTCCCCCCCCCCCCTCCCTTCAATCAAATTCATCTACTCCATACATCCCCCTGGAATTATAACGCTACCTCGGGCTACACCTCCATCTTTCCTTCCGTGCAACTCGATTCAGTTATCTTCCCGCCAGGCACTGGAACGCCCGCTCGTCATCCAACTCCATCCGCTCTCTCCCTGCCAGGTTCATCTACCACCTACTACTACTTACCTCTACCACTACTCCCTTTGCACAGACAATCCCCGTCTTAACATTGGTTCCCTTTTCGCTGCACCCTGTGCAAGGATTCATCATCCGGGTGATCGGCGGTACTTCTTAAAGTCTTGTCCATTTCTCTTGAATTACTTCATCGCCTTGGGATAGAGACTGGTTCTATTCTGCATTTGCATTGCGCATCCTTCCCGCTTCGGCGATTGTTTTCACTTGGGCCGGCAAGCCTTGACTTGGCTTCTTTATTATCATCTTGAAGTGGCATTTGCTCGTATTGATGCTTCTTTGATCCTCTCCAAGTTTCACTTGCCCGTATGAGCCCTTATCTGTGTTGATCACCACTACCCGCTCATACAACTACACCCCCTCATCCCTCATCACCATCAGCTTGGGATTGGGAAACCCTCTCTGATCGCCTTCCTCCTCACCCAAGACCAACCTCTCCCTCTCTAAATCATGTCGGCCCCATTGGTCAAAGTCTTGCATCGAATGCAAGAACTCTTTACGAACATAGTTGCCGCCTTGGAGGCTATGCTATTGTTCCCTTCCCTCTTCCGCGACCCCTCCCGTAAGCGGCGGAAGCCTTTCCATGGAGCGTATTGGGGACGTCGCTCCCTTGATGCGTTTGCTGACGAGGTGGATCGTCTGTTCACGGCGCCTTTGTCTGTGCAGAACATGGTCGCCATGTCAGACAAGATCCGTGCGCAGTTCAAGTCTTGTCTACAATCTAGCCCCGTCTGCATGCTACCTTCTTACAACCATGCCCTGCCCTCCGGAACAGAGACGGGGACGTTCCTCGCTCTGGATGTCGGTGGCTCAACGCTGCGGGTAGCATTGGTTGAACTACGTGGGCAGGGAGACATGCGCATCCTTCACGTCTCGTCGTCGTACATTGACGAAGATGTCAAGTTGTTGGAGGGCACTCTCTTCTTTGATTGGATGGCGGAGAAGATCGACTCGATGCTACGCGAAGTGGGTGCCAACTATGGACGAGAGGCCGTGCCACTGTCGATGGGATTATCGTGGTCGTTCCCCATTGAACAAACGTCCAACAGTAGTGGCCTCGTTATCCACATGGGCAAAGGATTTCACTGTTCAAATGGCACCGTTGGGCAAGAGCTGGGCGATCTTATCGTTCAGTCTTGTCGGAAGCGAGACCTCAATGTCCAGGTGGATGGGATCGTCAACGACAGCTCCGCGACACTCCTCTCACGCGCCTACATCGAACCCAAGACACGCATGTCGCTTATTCTAGGAACTGGAACTAATGTGGCGATCCATTTCCCAGTTCATGAGATTGGACTGACCAAGTTCGGTACGAGACCGCCAGGTTGGTTTGACTACGCCAAGCACGTTATCGTCAACAGCGAAATGAGTATGTTTGGCGGCAGCATTCTTCCCAAGACTCGCTGGGATGAGGTTTTGAACCGGACACACCTTCGGCCGGACTACCAACCTCTGGAGTATATGATCACTGGGCGTTATCTGGGCGAGATCATCCGTCTCATCATTGTTGAAGCGGTGGAATCTGCCAAGCTCTTCGGCGGGGAGTTGCCTCATTCGATGCGCGATGCGTATTCATTCGACACCAGTATCGTTGCAGCGCTGGAAGCTGATACAACCCCGCTTCTCTCATCGTCTGCGGCGCTTCTACAGAAGGAACATACATTTACCGTGTCACCGTCCGTCGAGGATTTGCGCTTCCTCCGACGAGTCTGCCAGGTCGTCTCTAAGCGAGCAGCAGGATATCTGGCAACGGCAATCCACAGCATGTGGTGCCTGCGGAATGAGGCGGAATTTCCTGCGACGGCCCCCTCGGCACCCCCTTCGATCAAGGAAACTCAAGAGGTGACCGTGGTAGAAAGTGAAGAGAATCACCGGAGTCTGTCGATCGCATGCGACGGCAGTGTCATTAACAAATACCCTGGGTTCCGGGACCGTTGCCAGGGATATCTGAACGACCTTGTAAAGGAGACGAACGCATCGCGGCCATCATCGGATAGCACTACGGAACCTCAGGTGTGCCTCGACCTGGCACCTGAAAGCGCTATATTGGGAGCGGCCGTAGCAGTGGCTGTCGCTGTTGCGGAGAAGAAACTCGAGTAGACTACGTTATCCAGCACTCCCTCGTCTCCCATCTGAACACCATACGCTATCTCTATTTGATTCATCGGCCCATCGGCTACATTCGCATTCCGAGGTGTTGTGCGGCAGCTTTGCATTTCTTGGCCACCATTTCGCTCTTGGGGCTCTAGGTGTCGGACATTGTCATTTCCATTTTGTTGTTCTATTGGGGCTCCTCCTAAGCCACCCGATTCATGCATTTGTGCTTCCATAGGAGCATTCATTGCGTTGGCATAGACAGAACAGGTTCATCAATAACGGGGGCGGAGCATTTCTTGACCTTTTGGCGGACTAGACGGTTAGGCATGTGGCCTAAGATAGAAGCGGGGATTGTGCGTGTGTACATAATGTTAATCGTCAATACAAGAGTATCGTGAGGCCCCAGTGAGGCCGAAGCCGAGGTTTGGTTTTTTGGGTGAATCCCCACATCACGGCGTGCATCCTGCCAAGGCCTTGCCAACTAAAAGGCACAAGACTAAGGAGAATTCTTTGTGCAATTCGCCAATGGAAAAGGGACAGACACACTATCTAGCCCCATGATGGACCACAATGGTGAAATCTACATCAACTTGTTATCTTTTCAAGCATCAGTCATCATCATATTGATACAAATCACTCCCGACAAAGATCCTGCAACAACTCCAACATTCTCAGTTGAAGCGCCGACAATTCCTCTCGGGAAAGCTGCTGCTGCTGCTGCTGCTTGACCGTCGGGGCAGTAGTTGTTGTTCGTCCCATATTCGGGGGATCAGACTCCGAAACAAGACCCTTCTTGATAGTGAAAAAGGGAATCCTGAGTGCTTTGAGCTCCGCTATCATAGCATCGGACATTTGCCTCGAGGCTTTGTATACTTTCGCGTCGTAGTTGGTTAGTTCGGCGCGGTCTTCTTCGGCTGTCTGTTTCATTCATCATTAAGTATTAGCTGTGTAGGTAGTTTTCTGGTTGTGTTATATTTGTCTGTGTGTGTGATAAGGATGATCACCCGCACTATGGTGCTTCTCCTTCATCTGTATCCAAATCCGCATATGACCTGCATGCAAGGAAATACATACAGAAACTTGTTTATTCTCATCAACGGGAGCGCCGACGGATCGTCTAATAACCACAGTCATAAATGATTAACTCATCTCTTTGCCTGACTTCTTTCTCATTGTTTCTCTTCATAGATCGTTGACTGAGGATAAATAGGAATGGCGTAGACTCACAACACAGCATCCAACTCCTTCTTCTTCTCCGTCCGGGCGGACTGTTTCTTCAAGAGCGCTTCACGTCCCTGCCACCATTGTTTCTCGTGGTCGTGTTGGCGTTGGATTAACCAGCGGAGACGACGTTGGATTTCTTCGTTTTGGGCTACCGTGCGCATTACGTAGCGGAGGGCCGTTGGCCAGGTGGTTATGGTGGAGGTGTCTTCGGTGATGGATCCTGCTGGTGCTGGTGCTGGTCGTGGGTGTGGTTGTGATTGTTGTGTTGGGTGATGTTGGGGTCGTGAGGATGTGGGTTTCGGGGGTATGGGGAGCTGGGGGAGGGATTCGCTGGGTTCGTAGGGGTCATTGTCTTCTGTTGGTGCTGTTTGTGTTGTGGGGTCTGGATTGTGAGAGTAGGGAGGGTGTGATTGTGGTTGTAGTTGTAGATGTTGTGATTGAGCTTGTGATTGAGCTTGTGGTAGTTGCTGGTTGGATAAGGCGGAGAGGGTTCTGAGGACGGAGCTCAAGTCTGCTGCGTTGTAGTCCATAATGCGATAATCATAGGAGATATGATGAGGTTAATGAATTCTGGAGCTCGACCATCAAGCAAACTAAGGTGGTGTCAAGGCAAATAGCTCCCTAGATGATAAGCTATGGAGTAAATCGGAAGCGGAGTTGTAGTAAGTTAGTGTCCGGCTCGGCCTCGAATCGACGAGGTTGGATTTCTTTCCGCTGAAAATTTCCCCGGCCGGCAATCATTCCCAATTCCTCCTCCTCCAAACTCCGCCTGACCCCCGTTGGCTTCAGCTGCTCTCCCCTCCCCAGCTCGACATCTCAATCTCGTGCCTATTGGATTTGACCCTCCGTCGTCCTATCCAATTAACCCCCGACTTATTCTCTTGGCGCGCGCACCCCTTCGTCTCTCCCACCCCCCGCCCACCGCCGAATGTACCGTTCCGACTGATTCCATCCCGGTCACATCATACCATATCACCACCACCACTACTACTACCATCCTCGAGCATCCTCACCGACAATCCATCCTAGCCGAACTCACTCCAAAAAATGTCCCGCTCTGCTGCAGACGCGACCCGATTCACGGCCACCGGGCCCTACGCGCACTCCAAGCCCGGCTCGGCCAGCGCGGCGGCCCCCTACAAGCTCCCTAGCTCGATGGCGAAGCCCACCTCCCAGCAACAGCAACAGCCGCAGTTAAACGCCAATGGCAGACCGGAGTCTCCCAAGGAAAAGGTTGAGCGGTTGCGGGCCCAGGCCCGCGCGGCCCGGTTAGCTCAGTCGACGTCGCGGGTGGATCAGATGATTGAAGTAGGACGTCGATTTGCGAACAAGGCGCATAAGACGATGGTGTACACGCTGATTGCTGCATCTGGTATGTTTCCATCATCTACCATGGTATAAAATGGACTACACATATGTGTTGGCCGCCGCGAGGATATACAACGAGTGACTGACGCGTTTCGGGTTTGAACAAAACAGGTGTCTGCGGAGCTCTAACAGTCTACTCCGTCATCTCTCTAACGCTATACAACCGTCGGCAGCGGGCTCTGTGGGTGGAGAAGGAAATGCAGAGACTGCAGGATGCGAAGACGGCGTATGCTGCCGGTACGGCTAACACGGAGCAATTGGAGCTGCTGAAGAATGAGAAGATCGGGGAGATCTTCCAGCAGAAGAAGGAGGAGGCTAAGGCACAGCGGCCCTGGAATCAGGTCAAGAACTTCATCTTTGGAGGTTTGAAGCAGGATGAGAAGGCCGCTACTGATAGCAGCAGCTCTATCCCCGATAGTGTCCTGGAGGGCGGCAACAAGTCCGCAGTGCTGGAGGCGCTCAACGCTAAGGCTGCAGAGGATGCGGCCAAGTCTGCTGCTGCTGCTGTTCCCAAGGGCCAGCTGGATGCGTTGGCTGAGAACGCCGAAGATGCTGCGAAGCAGTCGACGCGAAGCTGGAAGAGCTGGTTTACTGGACGGTAAGGAGTCCAAGAACTAAAAAAAGCCCTTTGGTATATGGAAATGGATGTATGACATATAGAGCGGAGGGAGGTGGTGCGTGTGTGTGTACGTGAGTGAGGATGGAAAACAAGGAATGTCTCAGAGATGACGCCTATCACATTTACTTATGCTGCTTTTCTGGTTTGCATGGCATCTTCTCCCTGTTTTTCCATAATCTGGGGTTGCGGCGTCTATGCGGGTTATATTCTTTTTTGTCTCATCTTTATTCTTTCTTTCTAGCTGTATTCTTATCTTGCTGTTGTTTGCTTTCCTCAACCTGTGTATTACTGGGTTAGAGTTCTTTGTCTTTACTCTTGTGTACATATACATATCTACTATTCTCAATCTCTCGTATCTCTATCATTGTATCTTGGTTAGAATAGTGCTGTCGATGGCTCGATGTTAACTTAATCAAGAGGGTTCGGTCTATCGAGCAAATATGGATATATACGGGCAATCAAATCTTGTCATACTCATCGTTCTATTATTGATTCATTACTGTCTCCCGTGGACAGAACCTAAGTGAACAGGTACAGGCAAAAGAAATTACAAAAAGTGTAAAGAGAAGCAGTCAAGACTTTTACTGGAACAAAGACCGAAAATGCTGCCCGCACAGGCAGAGGCTGTCTGTCCAACACACCCATAACTCAGGAACTCGTGCCCGCAAAGTCAGATAATGAAACCAAAATGAGGTAAAATAAAGCACCCTGGCTATGGTATCTAGATCGGATTATTCGGAACAAAAGGAAAAGGGAATCACACTCGCTGGGGTTTCGTAAACGCAGATCATCCATCCTCAATCGCTCAGTGGGTGCCATTAGTGGCCTTGGCCTGAGCGGCTTTGGCGGCGCGTCTGGCACGAACACCATCCGCGAGGTCCTCCAGGACCTGGACGGTGGTCTCCCAGTCAATGCAGGCGTCAGTGATGCTGACACCCTTACGCAGGCCGGAGGGACCCTCGGGGGGAACTTTCTGGTTACCCTCGTTGATGTTGGACTCAATCATAACACCGATGATGGCATCCTGGCCCTCACGGAGCTGGTCGGAGACCTCCTTGGCGACCAGAGGCTGGTTGCGGTGGTTCTTGTTGGAGTTGCCGTGGGAGCAGTCGACCATGACGACCTCGGACTGCTTCTTGCCCGCCAGAGCCTCGCGGGCGGCCTTGATGCTCTCACGGTCGTAGTTGGTGCCCTTGTTACCTCCACGGAGGATGACGAAGCCGTGCTCGTTACCAGCGGTCTTGGTGATAGCAGCCAGACCCTGCTTGGTGACACCCAGGAAGCGGTGGGGGTGAGCAGCGGCACCAATGGCATCAATGGCAACGGTGAGGTTGCCGTCGGTACCGTTCTTGAAGCCAATGGGGAAACTGAGACCGGAGGCGAGCTCACGGTGCAATTGCGACTCGGTGGTGCGGGCGCCAATGGCACCGAGAGAGATTAGATCGGCCAGGTACTGAGGGGAGATGGTATCCAGCATCTCACTGGCAATGGGCATGCCCATGCTGGTAAGATCAGCGTAGAGCTGACGAGAGACACGGAGACCCTTGTTGATGTTGTAGGACTCGTCAATGTCGGGGTCGTTGATCAGACCCTTCCACCCCACCGTGGTGCGGGGCTTCTCAAGGTAGGCACGCATGATGACACAAAGGTCGGAGGAAAGCTTCTCGGAGAGCTCCTTCAGACGGCCGGCATATTCGAGGGCCGTGGCAGGGTCGTGGATCGAGCAGGGGCCGACAACAACCAGCAGACGGTCATCCTTCTTCTCGATAATCTTCATGGCCTGGTTACGGCCAGAGCGGACAGCCTCGAGGGATTCCTTTTTCTAATCATGCCCTCTGTTAGCACCAATGGTGTGAACCGAGGCATTGACGATGAAAATAACTCAGAATGTGGTCGGGTTGAGAACGCAACCAACATGACAGGAAAGACTTGGAAAAATTGGTAGGGAAAAAGCAAGGGGAAACGGTGTGACTCACACCAGGGATCTCATTCTGGAGGTACTGAGGGGGGAGGAGGGGATCATATCCCAGGACTAAATGGTTTGACAAATCAGTACAGGCTCATTGGCACTGAAAATGAGGTTTGTTTACTAACCGCGAGTGTCCTCATTGACTTCTGTGGTGCTGATCAAAGGCATGGTGGGGGGAGATTGGCTGTGTGGAAGGGATTATTCTGTATGAGGGGAAAGGAAGAAAGAGGAAGAGTGATGGAAGAGGACAGCAATACAGCCTTTATAAGGGGTCTAGAAGGGCCAGGAAGTGTGCAATGGAGATGAGTCAAACGGGGAGAAGACAACCGAAGCGAAATCGGGGGTCAAAGAGAAAGCGAGCAAGGCACAAGCGAGAAAAGAAAAAAAAGAGCAGGGCAATGGAGCAAATGAGAGAAGATGGAAATGGCATGAAGAGACAGAAAGTGTGGGCCGCGGGAGCGCGGACCAGCCGATGATTCACACACTTGCAAAACTTAAGGTTGGTTGGCTGCAACCTACCGGTGGCGGTATCAGTACCGTATTGTCTGTCCCATGTTGTCACCATCCATCGTCCCAGCTCTCTCTCTTTCTCTTTCTCTATCAACACTTCTCCTGCGACTCTATCTTCCCTCCCTCCATCACCACTTGAGGTAGATGCTGCTTCAATTGACCCGCTTTTAGAGTTCAATAGTCCTCCCTTCCCACCACCATCAGCTCTTGATACATCCATGGGTCTTCTTCCCCTCCCATCAAGGCCCAGAACCACTGCCCTCGAGTCTGATGTGATTAATGCATCAAGGCTCCGTGGTGTGTGATACTGCATGATTCGATCACACTCAGCTTATCCCCCCTTCTCGCACAATTCTCCACCTTAAAAAGGTCATTCATGGTACGAATAAGGTTCCCGCTTTAGGTTGTGTCAATTCAAACCCCCGGCGCCTTATCGAAAACGATAGTTTACCGTTCCAGATCGGTCACTCCATGACTTAATCCTATCTAGAGCACATCATGATGCGGATTACTCCGATTTCCGGTTTTCAACGTGGATTCTTAAACCGCTGGATGCCATTGTTCCAAGGCCCTGTCCCAGATAGCTTACGTCAATCAGCTTGTGACTCAAGGGCTTAGACAACCAATGCTTGAGCTGTTGCAGCCGAAAGAGAGAGCGATTGGAGTTGGCCATTGTAGCGTAGCTTCGTGTCGGAGTTCTAGATTTTCGCCTGCATTTGATCACATAATGTGGATAGGTTTGTCTTCCTGATGCATGAGATCATTCGATATACGATTGCGGTCCATGAGTACGAGGCCTGTGTGATAAGCTTCGTATCTCTCAATTCGTCTTATCGCGTACTTCGTCCGGAGAATTAAACCGCCTTAGGGGGGTATGGGATGGACGGCTATGCATGCAGGGTCATATGTACTCCATAGTAACACTGCCTATCGAGTGAGCCCGCTTCGTACGGGGTAAGGACCTCCACATCAGCGGGCGTTTGTCGGAACTGCTGGGCAGTTCGATCACTGTCAGCCAAGCAGCATGTAAGCAATGCGCGTAGCCATGCATGCGGCTTATTTTGTCTTCAGCTGAGCCTCGCATATTATCTGATTTAATTGGATACGCCCAGTCACACGTACTAGGATGGCGGGACATGCTGTATGCCGCTCATTCAGCTTTCAACGAGCAACTTCTCTGCGAGACTGCCCCGGCTCCTAGCTGAATAGTGTTTAGGCTTGACAACCCCATGGGGGAGACTTGGTGCGAGTATCCCCACGAAGGGGAAGTTGGGAGGCCAGTAACTCGCCCACCTTGTATGGTAACAAGCCCCTGTATGTACCCCATGTTGAGCTAGACGTAAAACAGAGTGGCCCTGGGCGGCAGTTCCCGTGTGGACCTGGGGAATTGACCGTTAGACCGTAGATCTACTCGATCTAATCAATTTGCATTCTGAATCCCTCCACTGGAGAACCATTACCACGGCTTGAGGGGAAGGGCTCCGATCTCAGTGGACTCTGACTGGGCCTGTGGTCGAGCTTGCAAAGGAAAACGGCGAGTCAGACAGATCCTGTGGGTCTTCAGGGATGCTTCAGCTCGATTTTAAGAACTCAGAATGACCAAGAAGTGTTGGTAGCCAGTCGAAAAATCGTGTTGGGGGGGTGTTGAGGCATCCTGAGCCGGAATAGCGTTTTAGACCGGCTCGCGTGTAATCGCTTTGCCGCCCACTCACCGAGTCGAGGGAAGAACACTTCCCCATCACGGCCGACCCCCAGCCCCTTCATCCCCACAGAATTGCCCTTACTGGGTTTCCCTGCATGCAGCCTGCTGTCGGTGCCTTAAAACCAAAATACGCACTAAGATAATTAAGGTGCTTTCCGTGGCCCACTGTGTCCAAAATTGTTGCTACAGGAAATCAGCTAAGATGCTCGTATTGAAACCTGTATCTGGTATGGTTCCAGCACTTACCACTCTCAAGCATTGTGCTATTCATCTCAACCGTCTCTCATGAATCGCTCTCCCCACCTTGAGTGACCACAACTCCACATACGAGATTAAAAAGAGAAATGAATGAAATCACAAATGTGTCAAGGAAATCGGTCCGATACATGGCGCACAAAGACCAAGGCATGCATTTTCTATTTTATCATCCACATCTTTCAAGGCAGAACCTCCTCTCCCTTCCAATCCCAACAGCGGCCCCGCCCATCGGAGTCACCGGTCTGCATACCACAGAGATGCTGTAATAGCTTCACCGCAGATTCTTCTGGCTGCAGCATGTGTCTGCCATCCCAGTAATCTTTCGTGAAATCAGTCTGGACTGTCCCGGGATGCAACGCCACCGCAAAAGCTCGGTCTCTGCTGCGTGACCGCAAATACAGATCGAAAGTTTTGGTCAGCTGAAAGACGGAGGCTTTGCTAGCACGGTATGAATACCAGCCCCCTGTTGCATTATCCGATATGGACCCAACTCGTGCGGCCATCATCGCGTAGATCGCATGCGATGGAAGTCTCCACGGCCGCTGTACATGTGCCGACAGAGATTCGTCCGCAAAGATTGCAGACGACTTCGTTGGCAAAAAAGGTGCCAAGTGCTTCATAAGAAGCATAGGACCGAGAGCATTGACTTGAAAGCTATGCAGAGCATTGGCAGCATCAATTTGTGTCGGAGACTTCTCCACGTGCAAAACGCCAGGTACGGTGATTGCAATACGCAGGGAAGTCTGTGGAAACTCTTCTCGTATCTGTGCTGCCATGGCGTGTATGGTTGCCTCATCTAAGACATTGTTCAGGACCAGAACGTATGAGGGGATGATGTATTCAGTACCAGTCACGTCAACTTCAAAGACTCTTAGCCTCTCCTCTGCCTTTCCAGTCTCATCATTGACTTGATCCAGTAAGATTTTACGGAGCTGTCCGGTGTCTCTCCGCGCAGTCGCAATAACGGGGAGGTCCGTGTTGGACAGCAGCTGTCGCGCAAAGGCGAATCCCAGTCCTTTCGAAGCCGGGGTCACGAGGGCGAACCCACTTTTTGCAGGTGACATTTGAATGGCACGAATTTGATTGCATATATTGAGAACTGGGCTACTAAAACCAGAGAGACGGAATCCACATGGAGGATTAGTCTGAAGGTCGAAGGTCGAAGCCTAGATTTCCGTGACGTCATGCACATGGCTGCTACTTTGTACAAAGTACAAAGTATGAATTGTTAACTAGATGGCTGTCTGCTGGCTGGGACAACAGGTGCCTTCGGGGGATATACATCTGCTCGTAAAGTAAAACACCATTGTTTGTCCGAGAGTAAGCTGGCGAGGGTTGTTGGTCGCAGACAGCATCAGATGCATGGGTAGGTTCTAGACGGACTACTAAGCCTACAGAGTTTAGAATCGTCTTATTTTAGTAGCCAATCTCATTGCACAAGGCTTTTGAAAAGCTATCGGACTGGTGTATTTACTATCCGTAATAGGACAATACATATGTGAGAATGTCAACAAATACATACTTGGTACTCTACGAGTGATTGTCTTCCTCATCACCGACAAGAGAAAGTTGTAACTAGAAAGACTGTACTCTCAAGGTACCTGATACATCCGCGGCGGTATTGGTCAGTAGTAATCGGACTGAATCCGTAACATGTGACGGTACCAACCGTACGGCGCTAAACCCCGGCTGGACATTGAGCGATAAGTCCCGGTCTTTGCTGCGATGATCCATCCACGTTCCAGCTCGGGTTTCTTTGATTCTTCAACTACTTACTAGTGTGACCCCATGCATGCTTTGGACCAGTTATTCAGCGTGCTGCATAGCCATGGCCTGTCATCTTATTAATTACTAGCCTCATTTTCTATATTACTTGCTTCCTCATTGGAGCCCCTATTCTCCTACGCGTGTTGCTTTCCACATTCCTACGGAGGAGATTCAACAGACTCAATGTGACCTTGACCCTGGCTCGAATCACACTCACCGCAATACTCTGTTTAACCAACTCCACATTTTGGTCTTCACTGCCCTCTTTGTACGGCCTGGCGCCCAAAGCGCCATGTACGCATTTTCCACCAAGCGCCAGAGAGACCAGGACCAAGAGGACTTCGATGGAAATGTGTTCCGCGAGACTAAGGTCCGTGAATTTGAGACTGAAGGACCCCTGCTATTTTCGTCCCGCAACTAATGGTAGTCAACAGAAACACAGGTCTCTTCCTCTGCGCGCGTCCCCAAATGTTCACCAGTTTCCTTCCCTTCCACAAAGCAACCGGCTTGCATCTGGCTTTGGTTTCTCGACTCTGACCCCAGTGGAATCCTCAGACGATGACAAGGAGGATAATGGTGCTGACAAATTCGCCCATCATGGTTCGACACAACCTCGGGATCAGCCATTACCATCAGAGCAAGGGTGTATTCCTATAATGAGTGCAAGCATGGATATTGATAACGGGAAAGACGCCCAATGTTCGACCAATAATGTTGAACATCCCAACCCGGGAATGGCCGCTGGATGTAGCAATTACAGTCTCCAGCCGTCGCCGATCCCACATAGTCTTGTTGACCAGTCGCTGGTTATAAGCGAAGAGCCGACTACACACTCTACGGAAGGGAACACTCCTGCCCCAAGAAGTCCCGTCGTAAGAGACATGGTGCAAAACTCTACATCATATACGTCGCAGGGCGTCCCCAGAGGTCCGTACGCGAGCCATGACAGGGTCTGGTGGTGCGGCCAACGCCTCCCCAGTCCGGTCAGTGACAATGGCGACGCCATGGCGATCAGCAGCAAAGACTCTGTGAGCGACGCTGATATGACATACATGTCCCAGCCAGCGTCTCCACCACCATGGTACTCAGAAACCACGCCAGATGTGTCACAGCCGGCGGGTTCGATGGGCAACTTGAAACGAGAGCAACATATTCCCTCTTCCTCGACGAAGAAGGCAGCGATTTCCATGGGCTACCGAGCGGATTGCGACAAATGTCGGCGCAGAGTCCCAGGTCATTACAGTCACATCATCCGTCACTGACACACTTATCCCTTTCTGTTCCTTTGCTGTTTTCTTTATTTGTTCTGCTTGACTTTTATCACTTGACGAGTTCATGATACCAGGCGCTATGGAAGGAATGCACAGGGAAAGGCGGCTGTGCTGTTTTTACTATGATACCAACGGTTTTCGGGATTGTGGGGCTTTATTAGCATGACTTGCATTGTAGATGCGACCAGTTGGGACGGAGAACTGGTTCGAATGTACAGGAAGAATCAAAGCTTATCCTTCGATAATGCATATTGTTGTCTTTTCTCAGCTTTGGAGAAGATTTGGCAGCGAATATTTCCCTCAATAACGACACAGAAGTTCTACTATATAAGGGATAGAGTTCGGGCTATTACTCAGGGCCTGCTGTCAACTAGTGGCTACTTCGTTAGTTGATGGCTGTTTTCCGACGTGCTCTTCCGATCTGGCTGACATAAGCGTCCGCATCCGATGGCGGAAGAGCAGGTGACTGGCACCGGATGTCTTTGTCGGATTGACGTCCGACAAAGATAGAGAGAGGGAGCTACATTTACATTGGACTAAGGGGAGTGTTTGATAGTCGACAGGATGTAGTGATCTTTGAAGGTTGACATTGTAAGATTGTTCTCCGGACACACATCCCCAATCAGAATCTCAAGCAGAAGACGGGGAAACCCCCAGACCGGGACTGCCGACGACTCCACAATTTCCCAAATTTGCCTTCGTCCAGAGTCCCCAGCGGCAGTGCGCTTAGCCGATCTTCATTGCCGGTAGTTCGAAGCCAGCGTGCAACTGGCTCAGTCCGTACGCGAGCCATCCCGAGCCCCGGAATCCCTTCGGGTGGCTATATTTTGATATAAGTATGTTGCCGGGCCCCGGTTTTCAACCGGGGCGAAGCGAAAGTCGAGATCCTCTCCTTCCATTCCTCCCTGTGTCTCTTGCTTGATTTAGCAGTCTAATATCCGTCATCATGGCCTCTCCAATTCCCCGAGGCCTGCGCCAGGTCCTCCAGAAGTCTCCCTCGGACATTGTCATTCTTTCTTCCCTCCGTACCCCGGTTACCCGTGCGAAGAAGGGCGGTTTCAAGGACGCCTATCCCGAAGAGCTGCTCGCTCACGTCCTCCGGGCCACTTTGGAGGCGAACCCGAACCTCGACCCTGCTCTCATTGACGATGTTGCCATCGGTTCCGTCCTCCAGGAACTCGGTGGTGCGAAGGCTGGCCGTATGGCTCAGATCCACGCCGGCTTCCCCCACAGCGTGCCTTTCCACACGATCAACAGACAGTGCTCTTCCGGTCTGGCTGCTATCTCCACCATTGGAAATGGAATCCGCTCCGGAGCTATCAACGTCGGTGTCGGTGGTGGAATGGAGTCCATGACCAGAAACTATGGCTCCCGCGCCATCCCCACCGTTCTCTGGCCCGAGCTGAAGGAGTCTCACTCCCAGGACTCCCGCGACTGCATCATGCCCATGGGTATCACCTCCGAGAACGTTGCTTCGCGCTACGGCATCTCCCGTGCCGACCAGGACGCTTTCGCTGCCGAATCTCACAAGAAGGCTACTGCCGCCCAGAACGCCGGTCTGTTCGACAAGGAAATCATCCCCGTCAAGACCCTCTCCTATGACCCCGAGAACCCCGACGCTCCTCCCAAGGAGATCACCGTGACCAAGGACGACGGTATCCGCCCCAACATCTCGGTTGAGAAGATGGCTAGCCTGAAGCCCGCTTTCTCTCCCACCGGTGCTAGTACCGCTGGAAACAGCTCCCAGGTCAGCGACGGTGCCGCTGCCGCTCTGCTCATGCGCCGTTCGACCGCCACCGAGCTCGGCCTGACCTCTCAGATCAAGGGCCGCTGGGTTGGTACTGCCGTTGCGGGCTGTGCTCCCGACGAGATGGGTGTCGGTCCCGCGGTTGCTATCCCCAAGCTCCTCCAGCAGCTTGACATGACCGTCTCGGACGTTAACGTCTGGGAAATCAACGAGGCTTTCGCCTCCCAGGCCCTGTACTCTATCCGCAAGCTGGGTATTGACGAGGCCAAGGTCAACCCCAAGGGTGGTGCCATTGCTATCGGTCACCCTCTCGGTGCCACCGGTGCCAGACAGCTTGCCACTCTGCTGCCTGAGATGGAGCGCACTGGCCAGGAGGTCGGTGTTGTGAGCATGTGCATTGGCACTGGTATGGGCATGGCCGGTATGTTCGTCCGGGAGTAAAGGGTGAACATAACAAAAAGCAGAAACAAAATTTGGGGCGTTTCTTTCTTGTACAGGTTATAGCGACTTTAGTTATTATGATATCAGCGTAGAGACGCATGTAAATACATACACGCACAATACTATTTATACCCTGTATGAAGACCTATATTTCCAAACTGATACTCAACAGACTATCATGAACATACTATTGCTAGTATTGGTGATGTCTTAAGCGATAAATTGGAATGGATTATAGATTCAGCGATGCATACGGACATACTGATGCTAATCTTACGAAGGGACGACAGACATGCTCAAGGGATATAGATGTAGGAACAAAGTAGACCCGAGAAGCCCCTTCCTCCTCAACAGTACTCTGTATGACTCGCAAATATCAAATCCTATAGTTCCGTGTGAAAGTATACTACCAAATAACTCCCGACCGCCAAGCCCCATCCATCCCAAGCACGCTCCTTCACGTGACCTCCCCGGCCGGAACCTCACCACCGCGAAACTTTTCGAACCCCCATCACCTCCGTCCGGGCACCCGCCAGCAAAACCCGCAACCCACCCCAATTGCACAGCACCATGCGACCGTCCGTGCGATTGCTGAGCCTCGACGTCCAGGGCGCCTCGCGGACCCTGTACGTCTGCTCAGTATGCAGAAACGAGGCGCGGCCGCGGCCAATTGTCGCCCGGCAATTCCTTCGCCATGCTTCCAACACACCGCTGAGTGAGCGAGTGAGACGCAGACTTTGGGGTACGGATAACCCGCCGGGATTGAAGGATCCGTATGGAGAGAGTTTGCTTGAGAAGAGATTCGGGAAGCCCAAGGCTCAGCCGGAGGGCGAGACGGAGGTGGTGAATGCGGCGGAGGCGGCACCTGAGGCTGAGGCTATTGATCAGTTGGAGCCTGGGGTTGACTATGAGCCTGCGACGACGTGGGAGGGGCTGGAGCGTGTGGGCCATTTGGGAGGTTGGAAGAATGTTCCCCGGGCTGAGGCTGATCGGGTTGGAACGTAAGTTGTTCTTCTTCCGCATAGTTTTGGGTTACGGGGGTTTGGGAGTTGTTTTGGCTAATTGGTTTGTTTTTTTTGATGGATAGGTTCGGTCTCAAGAAGAAACTCCGCAAACAGGGTCCCCTGTCTCTTGCTGCGCATCAGGCCGCTGTTGAGATCTGTCTAATGCATGCGCTGAACAAGCCGTTGACGAGCGTCTGCAACGTCACCGAACATGACAAGGCCGTTTTCAAGATGATCTGGAAGACTAAGATCGTGCCTAATGAGGCTGGCAGCTGGGGCAGCGCGCTGGAGTATCACAACAAGCAGGCTAAGGAGGCCCTCGTTTACATCTTCGAGCAGATCGGTGGTAGCCAGCCCGAGGCTGTGGAGCAGCAGCAGGCTGCTGAGGAGACCGCCGAGGTCGAGGAGTTCGAGGAGGCCGCTTGGGAGGGTGAGGAAGAGGAGACCTCTAAGGTTCCTTTCTTCGGATACCAGGATGCTCGTGATAAGGGATTCCTGACTTTGTCTTTGGAGGATCAGGAGACGAAGTTTGCTGTTAGTTCCCCCCGTTACTATTCTACTTCGAATGATTTGCTGCGCAGACAGTTGCTGACCTTCCTTTGTCGAACAGTTCCTCAAGAGATTCTCCCAGCTGAGCGGCCACTTCTTCCCCGACAACATCGTCCACCAGATCACCACCGTCAAACAGGCCATCGACTACGTCCAGGGCCAATTGAACCCCAAGCCTAAGAAGCTGGCTGAAATCCTGGAGAACAACGACCGGCTCCAGTCCCTGCCCAACATCAAGGTCTTCTCGAAGAGACAGACCCGCTTGCACCGCGATGATGAGATGGGCCGGAGGAAGATCATTGAAGCCGAGCTTCGTTCCAGAGGACTCCTTGCATAGACTGATTGCATGGCATACATATCTTGCAGGTTTGTTTGGTTGGCTGGCTGGCTCAAAGATTATCTATCTCTAGTTCTTGTAGCATGTTATATCTAGTACGAAATTTTGCTGTACAATAGGAATTGACGTCTTTTTTTGTTCATTTGACATGAATATAGATCGCAGTGAGATCTATTTTGAATGGCTAGCATTTTAGTGTATCTCAAGCGTAATATAATATAGTGAAATAGAAGAAACCGGTTCCGTAGCCGGACCTGAACCCCCGTACGCCTGATGAAATAACATCCAGATATCTGTATAGACAATGCAAAAGCACAACCACGTTCAACAATTACTTCCTAGCCGCCGCAGGAAGACTAAATCCTCTCGTCATAAAGTCTGTATTCTTGGCATGGGCATCCTTAGACTCCTTCGTGAAGAGACTGCTGATGTTGTCACTGGTCCCCAGCATCTTCCGCCGCTTTTTCTTCTCGTTTTCCTCCTCCAGCACCCGCTGCGTCAGCAGCGCAGTAGCGGCATTCTTGATACCACTCGAGCCGCCCGGCGTGGGTGTAGATGTGTTGCTCCGACTGGCAGTGGCACTTGAAGATTTCTCTGCGGGCTTTGATTCCTTGCCCGCATCCGTCGCATCATCATTCGCGGCGTTCTTCTTGCGCTTCTTCGAACCGGGGGCCTTCTTCAACGAGTGCGTGAGACCTTGCTCTGCGAGCCTGTGTCCACGCTCAATGAGCTGCTGCTTGTCGGCCTCTTTGGTCGGGAGGATGGGAATCACGTTGTCGGCGGTGTATGGCTCGTCGCACTGAAGTCGTTAGTACCAACACCAAAAAGGAAAGTATAGGATGAGACAACATACCTGCAAGCACTTATCCCCCTTGAGTTGGCGAATCGCCTCCTCCGAGAAAACATGACCGCACGGCACCAAATAAACCGACTTGACATTAGGACCCAACTGCTTCGCTGTGACGGGACAAATCCACCCCTCACGCTTGTCCTGCTTTCCAGAGGCGGGATGGGCTTCGCGCTCTGTGTCAACCTCGAACTTCAGCTCCACGACGTCCCGGAGTCCCTTGACCCGACCGCAGAGGATCTCTTCGCAATCGGCCTTGGAACTGATGCCGTCAACTTCGTCGCCGGGGAGAAGGAATCTAAGAATGGCGTCTTTATTGTAAAGATTCCCGACGCTGTCGGAGACAATTGGTCGCATTAATTGGTTGTGCGATATCGGACACGTCGTCCAGGAGTGTTCTTGTTGTTCGCGCTGCGCTTCTTTTACTTGCGCTGTGCTGGGGTTGCGGGCCGCTTCGCGGACGAGCTCGCGACGGGTTGGGATACTGGTGGTGCGTGTTGTTAGTTTTGGTTTTTGGTAGACTGGGAGGGTGTATAAGAGGTTTTGGAGCATACCTGCCACCATCATTACCCATGTTGTCGCTGCGAAGTGCTATGGTAAGTAGTCGTGATTGAGAAATGAATGCGACTTGTTGCGGGCTCGCCACTCAGTTACAGAAACAGCGGCAGGCCGATAAGGAGCTGAGTCAGCAAGCCCCAGAATGGGCGGGAGATTATCACCAGCTGGCCAGAAGCTCTCTCCGCATTCCTGGTGATGGATTGATTGATTTAGTGATTGATTGCTTTCTGTCTTGTTCTCGCTAGTTTGTCCTCTAGTGCCCCTACACAGCATTGGTCAGGGAGCTCAATGCTGCCACTGCCACCATGATACTTCCTCAGGGATCGCTCTTCTTGGTGAGCATTGCTGCTTGCTCGACCGTCGTGGCTGCGGCGGGTGATGCCTCCTCTCGTCCCCGGGGTGTTAGTCCCGAATGTAAGTACCATCTATATATCTAGGCTGAGGTGCTACGCACAACCATTCTACCTCAGGCTGCACCCTCATCATTCATTCATCATCTGTTGCATTGCTCGTGCTAATTGGTTACGTCTTTGACAGTCGCCAAGTTCTACAAAGACACCACCACCTTCACGTGCATTTCCCACCCAGCCATCCAGATTCCCTTCTCCGCCGTGAACGATGATTACTGTGACTGTCCGGATGGTAGTGATGAGCCTGGCACATCTGCCTGTGCCTTCCTCTCTCGCAACTCTGCCCTAACACCGGGTGAGCGCCCCGGCAGCGACGATCTCGAGCTGGCATCCGCCCTGCCGGGATTCTACTGCAAGAACAAGGGCCACAAGCCCGGCTACATCCCTTTCCAGCGGGTCAATGACGGCATCTGCGACTACGAGCTCTGCTGCGACGGCAGTGACGAGTGGGCGCGCGTTGGCGGCACCAAGTGTGAAGACAAGTGCAAGGAGATCGGCAAGGAATGGCGGAAGAAGGAGGAGAAGAGACAGAAGTCAATGACTGCGGCTTTGCGAAAGAAGAAGGATCTGCTCGTGGAGGCTGGTAGACAGCAGAAGGAGGTCGAGGACAGTATCAAGCGTCTGGAAGTGGAGATCCAGGCCCAGGAGCTGAAGGTCAATGATCTTCAGGCAGAGCTGGAGGAGGTGGAGAAGCAGGAGGCGAGCAAAGTTGTGAAGGGCAAGGCGGCGGGCAAGGTCAATGTGCTTGCTGGGTTGGCTAAGAGCCGGGTCGAGGAGCTTCGGAACGCCCTGGTGGACGTTCGCAAGGAGCGTGACGATACCCGTGCCCGAGTCAAGGAGCTTGAAGAGATCTTGTCTAAGTTCAAGGTGGAATACAACCCTAACTTCAACGACGAGGGTGTTAAGCGCGCTGTGCGCAGCTGGGAAGACTACGCCGCCAAGGGCACTCTTGAGGGCGCTGTGAACAACGCTCAGGACCGTGATTTGGATGAAATCGCTAAGCCCGATGATGAGAAGGCGGGCATCAACTGGGAGCAGTGGGAGAATGAAGAGGATGGGTGTGAGGCTGGTCTTGGTATGTGATCTATTCCAATAGGGGGGTTATCGAATTCCCGCGCTAACAACAGAGTTAGTCTACCAGTTGGCAGCCTACCTTCCGCCTTCCTTGGTTGAGTTCATTGAAGGCAAGGTGCTCTTCGTCAGAGGTCTCTTGGAAGATAACGGAATCCTACCCAAGGCGGCCGAGACTTCTACGTCGGAATCCAAGGTTGTGTCGGAAGCCCGAGAAGCCGTGAAGTCAGCAGAGAAGGAGCTTGAGAACAAGCAGAAACAGCTGAAGGACCACAAGTCCGATCTTGAGACGGACTATGGCGTCGGGTCCATCTTCCGTGCTCTCAAGGGCGTCTGCATCTCCAAGGACTCGGGTGAGTACACGTATGAGCATTGCTTCCTGGACCAGACGAAGCAGATTCCGAAGAAGGGCGGTGGATCTACACGTATGGGCAAGTACACCGGCATTGGATCAATCAGTGTTGATGTGCTCAACGAGGCGGGCGAGATTGTCCCTGAAGACAGGGTCACTCTTCAGTACGCCAACGGTCAAGGCTGCTGGAATGGACCAGCCCGCTCGACGACGGTCATATTGACATGCGGCGAGGAGGACGCGATCCTGAAGGTGGCGGAAGATGAGAAGTGCGTGTATTCGATGCATGTCACGTCGCCGGCTGTGTGTCCCGGAGGCGATGAGGGCGCAGCCGCCCCGAACCGCAAGGATGAGCTGTGAGCGGCGATGGAACCATGTTCAGGGTTATATTAGAGCGCTACAATTTTATAGGTTTTGCTTATTCGAATTGCATCCACAGCATCTGTTGTACTGACACTATACATGAAGCTACTGACCTAGTGACCTAGCATTGACTAGGCAGCTGCTGATAAGCGGATGGCATCGGAGTATCTTCTGGAGGTTATCAGTATCCCGGGCTTCCATTCCGTGGTGTAGCCGACCACTGAGTAGTGTCCTTTTGACGCAGCAGACAGGATCAGATAGGTCCGTCTTGACTTGATGGGAATCTCCATCCTGCAATTCCAACAATACAGTAGACGCAGTAGAAAATTGGTGTAGCAACCCCACAACCCTCAACACCGATCAGACGATGCTGCAAGCAACTCACTTTGTTGGCTCGCCTCGTCTATCAACAAGCCCCATACCAACTAGGCAATGATAAGCAGATGGAAATAATCGTAATGATGCTGCTTGGTTGTCTGGGTGTTGCTTCTCTAGTATTTCTCTCGACCCATAGTATCCAAGTATACCCCGCCCGTGGGGCTGCTGATTAGTTAGTTGGTGGTGACTTCGAACGAACCTTCTTTTTTCTTTTTCTCTTATTTTACTCTACCTTTTCTCTGGTTAGCGCGCCTTTCGCGGCTGGAGATACTACGTACCTACATACTAAGTTTTGCTTCTCAGGCAGTGCTGGGAATTCAGGGTTCCACTCTTTCCGGGGCCTGCCACGATCGAGGGTTTTGAAACATCTGGTGGGGGAGAAAAAAAGACTCTTTCTCCATAGCTAAAAGAGGTAAATGAAGCAAGACATCGTTTTGGATGAAGTTAGTAGGGAAGTTTAGATACGAGGTATGATCATACCATGATCGTCCTGGAAGCAGCAGGGCATGTACAGTGGTGGGGGTCTGTGGATGGAGGGGTTGCCATTAACCATCCATTATCACTACCAGCATAGATAGTTGTACATAAGATACGTCCCAGTTCTGTCTACATCCCCTATATGCAGTGATTTTATTTATCACAAACAATTAGAATAGATATGTAGAAAAAGTGTCTAAAAGGACGTGGAATATGATCTCACCGATACGGGTCCCCCACCCAGTAGAGCAAAGTAAAGCAAAAGCAAACCCCTCCTACATCTCCGACTTGCTGCCTCACTTTGCTTTGCCTTTTTGACTCCACCTCCACCACACCCTCCTCCTTCTCCTCCATCTCAACGTGGCATGATAGCTTCCCAGCATCTTAGTTGCAGGACCACTCCATATTATTGACCGATTGGTCGTTGATCTGCTTCCCTTCCCAAGTATCCCCCCCACCTTGGCCATAGTAGACCAAACATCATCCGTCTACATGCCCATGACTAGGTTTCCAGCCAGGGCACTTTCGGAATCCAGACAGAAGAAAATAAACCGGCGAGCAAGCGGGGATAGTACTGACCAGGGTGTTCCATGCTTGTTACTGGTAAATTAACGCAGTGGCCTGTTTCATCTACTCACCTTTCTTAATAGGACATCTATTCATGGAATATGGGTGGTATGGATATCGTCCATGCACGCAACACACCACTACTAGTAGTAGTAACGAGTACAAGTACACACAAGTAGATAGAAACAAGAAAGTGCTAATCAAAGTCGCTAGTACAAGTGACTCCTACCAAACCATGCTCTCCCACGCCTCGCTGCAGCAAGCAAAAGTATACTTGGACCCAGTCATCTAGACTATAGCTCTGATCCACCTCCACCTGCAGTTGCAATATATGGAGTACACTACTACAACTGTGGATCACAACAAGTAGTAGTACCCATCGTGTATCCACTACAACTCAAAACCGATTATCCCCATCCGTCACCTGGCAGATTCTTATTCCAGGGATGGATGGATAGGATGATAGGTTGAGGAGGGGCAAAAAGTAAAGCAAAAGCAAAAGCAAAAGCAAACAGTCGTACAGCATAGCATTTTGTTTCCTGAAGAAAAGCATATAAAGACCCTCTTCTATCCCACATCCTCGCTCTTTCTTATTCTTGCTCATTCACTGCTGTCTGCTCATTACGAAGTATATTTCACTCTTCTTCAAATACTTTCATAGTATATATATATACTACTACTACCCTCTCTATCACCATGGCCCCCTGCGAGTGCAAGTGCTGCTCTGGCAGCTGCAACTCCTGCTCTTGCGCTAACTGCAAGGTGTGTACACACATTCCTATTCCATCTTCCATCTTAGCCATGAGAGGATAGTATAGATGTGGAATGATACTGACAGTCTACTATTAAAGCACTAAACACACCAACCCCAATACATTTCTACTATGACATCTTCGCTTCGCTTCGCCTCGCCACGCCTCGCATAGTTTGCCATCGTTGAAATAATACAGAAAAACACAAATGTCGAGCGCAGGTGTCTTGCTCGCTCCCATTACTATTATTATGGCTTCTTCGACATCGATGCGACTGTTGAATTTTTAGGGGAGTGGGGGATTAAGGCCATTGGTGTAGGGGAGATTGGTTTTGGTTGCATAGTGATTTGGGTGATGAGGTTATGAACTTTACTTACTTATATTGTGATGTCTTGAGTGTTCAGACGTATATATTTTTGATTACATTATTTCAATGATTTACTTGACTTATTGATTGAGAATTGTTTTTCTTGGGATTGTTGATATTGGCGTAGATTTCTTCTATTTAGTAGTCGGAGATAAGGGGTACAAACTAGATACTAATTATGGTAACTGATTCTACAATTTGATTTCTACCAGGTTTGGGTATATCATTTGCTGCTATTATATTTCTTACTTGGTTGTTTATGTATAGCTACTAAGTGATCACTTATTTTTCTACTGCTAAATGCTTCAAACTAGCTTGAAGACTATAACATGTCTTGGTATAACATGTACGATAGAGTTCAAAGAACCGAGCCATGAAGGGGGGTCAGCAGGACATACTACATGCATGGTGCTATGACCACTAGTATCTTCGTATTTTATCACATGTCTCTTACTGTGTAGTATCTACGTTTACTTGTTATCTAAACATATCATAGTAAGATGATAGAACAAGACATAGGACAATCAGCGTAGCATCTTCTGTTACTACTCCATGAGATCTAGACTCAGATAAGTACAAGCAGGTCGTCCTCCGATTCTATTCATATAGCCCTTCAGAGCGAGATGTTTATTTCTGTATGATAAGAAATAGAACTATCAGTATGACCATCAACAAGTAGTAGTAAGTTAGAAGGTGGAAACGTACGGGGCACTGGCACTGGCCGGCGGGGCACTGGCAAGAGGCGCCGCAGCTGCAACCGTGGTCGTTACCTGTCGGTCATCGAGGTTAGCAACCTTGTATACCATACCCAGGTGATAATAGTGTAATAAGATAGTTATTTGAAGCGAGAGGATTTGCCAGCACAAGGATGGTGATGCGTAAAGCAAACATCAAACAGATTCGAGTCTCGTCCATCCATACCCCGCACTAATAAACAAACAAAACAAGGGTACTTGATGAGGGCTAAGCAAACCACCTACCCATGATGACTGGTTTTGGAGACGAGAAAAAAGTCTTTTAGATTTGGAGTCAAAGGACAAAAGTCTTCTTTTCCTTGGAGATTGGAGAGAAAAGTGGTCAGAGTGGCAGTGATTTGGGAAGACGGGAAGAAAAGAAGAAGAGCGGGGTATTTATAGTCAAGTTGCGAGGGTCTTAGCGGGTCTGAACTTGAGCACATTTCTGCACCTCGTCTCCAGTCACCATCCGCCATTCATTATTCTTCCTGTTGCTGCAGGTTGGTCGTAAGCTCTTTTCTATGCTTGCTCAGGAGGGTGCAGCAGGGCAGATGCATGCATGCATGACTAACTACATCATTGTCTTTTACTCTTGTTTTCTCTCCCAGCTAACATGATCCTGACCCAGATAGTTAATGACCTGCAGTTGAGCTGAATTAACTACTACTCTACGGTGAAATAAACCCACTTGCTTTCATCGCTATTGGCCGACCCTCAAACATGCAGGAAGACAAAGTGACACCCATTTCTTGCCTGTGCGGAGGTGTGGCACAGGAGATCGAGCTGAAGCAGTCCACCGACCATTCGGCACTCAATTTCTGTCATTGCACCGCCTGTCGCACGGTCACCGGAATGCTGTGCTCGACATACTACCTCCTGCAGGCTAAGCCAGAGAGCCTCGACAGCCTCCAGGAGTACCAGGAAGCTGATTGCATAAGTCGCTATTTCTGTAAGACCTGTGGCGCTCATGTCTTTGCCCATTCGAAACACGCAGGGCAATTCTTTGTTGCAGCCGGACTGCTGGCGGGGAGACTACCCCCAACCAAATCTATACGGCATTGGCGGGCTGCCGAGACGCGTGATGGTGGCCTGACACCCTTTCTCTCTGGACAGCCAGAAGAACCGGTTCCAGCATGTTGGCTACGCACGGTTTCCAGCAACCAAGCAAGCCAGCCCGAGGCCGAACTCGAGCTCTCGTCCGGGAATCTTGACGAGCTACTTGCCCGTTGTCATTGCGGGGGTGTTCAATTCTATATCACGCGGCCCGATTCTTCATCCACCAAGCCGACTTCCCCGTGGTCCGATCTGCTTGCGCCGTATCATTCACAGTCCTCAAGCAATCCCCAAGACGTGAAGTGGTGGCTGCAGGAGGAGAATACTAAGTATCTGGCGGGTACCTGCGCCTGTCCATCCTGTCGCCTAGCCAGTGGTTTCCCTATTCAGCCGTGGGCGTTTATTCCTCTATCAAATCTTTACAATAAGGACAAGGTGCCGTTGGCATTTGGCGCCGGTACGATGCGACAGTACAAGAGTTCCCCCGGTGTCTACCGCGAGTTCTGCAGCCACTGTGGCGCATCCCTATTCTGGCATGACGATGAAAGACCACTGCTGATAGATGTGAGTGTTGGCCTACTTCGAGCAGAAGAGGGTTCTAGGGCCAGTGGGTGGTTGAAATGGGCCACACAGAGAGTAAGTTTTGCGGAGATGGCAGCAGATAAGGCG